TAATTCTTCACGAATGAGATGATTGTTCTTCATTCTCTTTAAAGTATCAGTAAGTTGTTTCTCAATTAATTCCGTCTTGTTTTTCTCGTTCGGTTTCGAGAATTTACTGCTGTCTGAAAGTAGACATGACATTTTATCGATATAATCTTTTCGATCCATAATAACAACACCTGTACCCTTGTCAGGGCGTGTTAATAGTATATCGCTGTTATGCGTCAAAAGCTTAAGTTCTTCTTTGTGCTGTTTAGTAAGAAGACTTTGCATTTTTGATCTAGCATTAAGGTATTGATTGCAGGAGTCCGTAATGGTAGATTTGAAGCATTGGAAATCCTGGTCTGACGATGGTGTGAGATCATAGGTTTGACTGAGTAAATTCTCAAACTGGACATGAGTATGTAGCTTGTTGATATTGAGATTAACATCGCAAAACTTCGAGCCCATAGACAAGGCTTCCATTTGTAATTTCGATAAAGATATAGAGGAGTGGTTGAACACGTATCTCTCCGAATTCTCAGGAAATTTTCGAAGACGTTCGATAGGTTTTAGGCTATTAGATAGCTTCGAATTAAAAGACATAGTTTGTTTGTTGGTGACCACATTGACATAATCATTAAACGTCTGACGTTCATCAACCGATAAGTCATATAGAGCAGAAGATCTTTGTGATATATTCCTTTCTAGCTCAGGGATACGTGAACTGATAGAATCAATGTGATTCAATGCGTGTCTCTTGAGAGATTTTGCATTAGGATATATGTGATTGCGTCGGAGCACTTTCCAATACCATTTCGGATACTCATGATTATTGATGCATTCATTAAGAAAACAAATCTCTGCATTCACCACGGCAAGTTTGACAGAATAACGCAGGAACCCGTTGAGTTCCTTTACTGTCAAGGGATCTTTGCTATTTTTTAACTCATGGAAAATTCCCATTGTAACATTTAGAAAATCAAAACAAGTGATTCAGCGAAGAGGCTCTTTTCAACGAATTTATCATCAAGCTGTACAGTCGTATATATATGGTTTATCAAAAGTTATCAAAAGTCATATATATACGACTGTACAGCTTGATGATAAATTCGTTGAAAAGAGTCTCTTCGCTGAATCACTTGTTTTGATTTTCTAAATGTTACAATGGGAATTTTCCATGAGTTAAAAAATAGCAAAGATCCCTTGACAGTAAAGGAACTCAACGGGTTCCTGCGTTATTCTGTCAAACTTGCCGTGGTGAATGCAGAGATTTGTTTTCTTAATGAATGCATCAATAATCATGAGTATCCGAAATGGTATTGGAAAGTGCTCCGACGCAATCACATATATCCTAATGCAAAATCTCTCAAGAGACACGCATTGAATCACATTGATTCTATCAGTTCACGTATCCCTGAGCTAGAAAGGAATATATCACAAAGATCTTCTGCTCTATATGACTTATCGATTGATGAACGTCAGACGTTTAATGATTATGTCAATGTGGTCACCAACAAACAAACTATGTCTTTTAATTCGAAGCTATCTAATAGCCTAAAACCTATCGAACGTCTTCGAAAATTTCCTGAGAATTCGGAGAGATACGTGTTCAACCACTCCTCTATATCTTTATCGAAATTACAAATGGAAGCCTTGTCTATGGGCTCGAAGTTTTGCGATGTTAATCTCAATATCAACAAGCTACATACTCATGTCCAGTTTGAGAATTTACTCAGTCAAACCTATGATCTCACACCATCGTCAGACCAGGATTTCCAATGCTTCAAATCTACCATTACGGACTCCTGCAATCAATACCTTAATGCTAGATCAAAAATGCAAAGTCTTCTTACTAAACAGCACAAAGAAGAACTTAAGCTTTTGACGCATAACAGCGATATACTATTAACACGCCCTGACAAGGGTACAGGTGTTGTTATTATGGATCGAAAAGATTATATCGATAAAATGTCATGTCTACTTTCAGACAGCAGTAAATTCTCGAAACCGAACGAGAAAAACAAGACGGAATTAATTGAGAAACAACTTACTGATACTTTAAAGAGAATGAAGAACAATCATCTCATTCGTGAAGAATTATACGAAAAGATCAGACCAACAGGATCTCTAATACCAAGACTGTATGGTCTACCGAAAATACACAAAGCTGGAGTTCCACTTCGCCCTATCTTGGATATGTCTGGATCGCCCTATCATCCAGTAGCTGGGTGGTTAGCTGAAATCCTCGAACCAGTCAGGGGGCAACTATCTAATCATTCCCTTCGGGACACCTTCCAATTTGTTGAATGTATACAGGATATAAATGCGTCGAATAAACAAATGTTGTCTTTGGATGTAGAATCCTTATTTACGAACGTTCCACTGACAGAGACCATATGTTTTATATGCAAATATATTGAAGACAACAAATTGAACATAGGGATACCTACTACAGATCTTAAAGAACTACTTTTGAGATGTACATTGAATGTACAGTTTACTTTCAATGAAACAATCTACAGGCAGAAGGATGGTATTGCGATGGGTTCTCCCTTGGGTCCTCTCCTTGCAGACGTTTTTATGTCCAGTCTAGAAAATGGTTCCCTGAAGCCTATGATCCAAAGCTTTCAAATATATAAAAGGTATGTAGATGACACCTTTATTATTTGTAATATTGATTGTGACCTGAATAATATATTAAGTGTATTTAATGAGTGCCATCCTGCGATAAAATTCACACTCGAAATGGAGAACGAGTCTAGCATTCATTTCCTCGATGTGAACTTATCAAGAAGGACCGATGGAACTCTGAAGAGATCGATTTATCGTAGGCTGTTATGGAATGGTCAACTGACAAATTTCTATAGCTGGGTACCTATTGGTCGTAAACGAAACCTGGTCCGGTCGCTTGCCACTCGTATTCGGCGCATATGTAGCACTGATACTGTGGAAGATGAGTTATACACTTTGAGGAAAATCCTAATGGAAAATGGATTTCCACCACGTTTTATAGATAAGAATATACATTCAAAGCCTACAAAACGTGACTTATCAACCGCTCCCAAGAAAATACTTTACATGAGCTTAGAATTCAAAGGGGACTTAGCTTCCGATATCATGAAACGAAGGATATCACAGTCCCTGAAAAGAACATTCCCTGCTGCCTCCCTGAGAATAGCTTTTACTAGCCGACCATTATTGTTCAATAACCTGAAGGACAAGATCCCAATGTTGACCAACTCTATGTGCGTTTATCAATTCACCTGCTCTTGTGGAGCTAGGTATATCGGTCGTTCGACTCGAGTTTTGTCCAAGAGGGTGCAAGAACATTATCCTGCATGGCTACGAAAAGGTGGAAGTGGAGCAATAAGAAGCGCGATCATAGAACATCTGGTCGAAAATGATCACCCTATCTCTATAGCCTCCGCCTTTAAAGTCATCTACAAGGCAAAGAGCAATCTACCTAAATCCCTACGTACCCGACTCATCTGTATTGCTGAAGCTTTGGCTATCGAAACAGAAAAGCCAGATCTCTGTGTACAGAAAAAGTTCGTTCAACCCCTCCAACTTTCATGGTCTTAATCCCTCTATGCTAAAATATAATAATCCCCAATCATATTTTAGCTCTACCAATTTTTCATTTTTCATTTTGTCTATTCAATTTGTATACTTTTCCTTATTAAGTCAATTGTTATTATTACTATTCTCACTTTGAACTGTCCCCGGTATTATTTCACTTGTTCCACTTGTCATTCTAAATCAATTCTTTTTTACAACGATAAATTCTATGCTATTAAATTTCACACAATATTACGTAACGTTTTTGTTTTATTCGATTTGCCTACTAATCCTATAATTGCACATCCTTTTTCAAGTTCTATCCCTCCTATGAATTATTCTATATATGACATTAATTTGCTTTGCCACTTGACATTTAACTACGATTATAATCACAAACATTTTAGTTTTAATTGAACTTCATATGATTATTATTATTATTATTTTGTGCATTCACACCTAAGATTCAATTCCCTCACCGGATATAACTTTTGATAAACCATATATATACGACTGTACAGCTTGATGATAAATTCGTTGAAAAGAGTCTCTTCGCTGAATCACTTGTTTTGATTTTCTAAATGTTACAATGGGAATTTTCCATGAGTTAAAAAACTGGTTATATGGCTCAATATCGTTCTCAGTAGCGCAGATGCATCAACTCTTTGTGACTTATAATTTCCAATGAAACTACATTGTTCTTCGTTACTTCTATTTCTTTGTCTCACACCTCCGTTTACTGTAAGTATTATGCATTTCTTCTACCTACTTCTCTTGTTTTGAGTACTACATAGAGTGTGGCGACTTAAACTACCGCACATCCGTGCACAGTTAAATGTTGAAATCAGTCAGTCAGTTAGCAGTTGAGATCTGTAAGCATCTGGAAATTAATGACTAAAGACTGTAGGTGATATGACTACTTCGGTTGCATGTATTCACGCTTTGTCTAAATATTAATAATAATAATGAAACATTTATATATTTTACCTTTTACCCTCTAATCAGTCATATCGCATTTTAGATTTTATTCTCAAATTTTACTGGAGTACTCAAGTGATATGTAGTAAATTGAGTCTTTACTTAGTAAACATCTAGTCTTATTTTGCCATATATATATGTTTATTATGTAAATTAGTTTTTTTTCCTTCACGTTCCCCAGTGGAACATAGGGCTTCAAGCTAATGGCTTGAAGTTTCTGTAGCAGTGTTTATTTTACAGGATGGGTTTGCTAGCCTCATGCTCAACCTTTCCTCTTTACCAGCATTATTTCTGGCTTGGCAAGGCAAAGGAGTGCGTCAGACGGGGATTGAACCCGAAACCATATGCATGGTCTGCAAGCGTCCTAACAGCTATACCACCGACGCACATGTAAATTAGTTTGGTTGATTTGAAATGTTTTCTCATATGAGAGATGATATTCCTTAGTCACACTTGTATCCAATTTATTTCTTTTTTGTTTTTGTTTTTAGAACCAACCATACTTCAAGTTAACTAAACGAACGTTATGGACAAAGTTAGCCATTGCTAGTGGAGTTGTTGGATTTGGAGTTGTCAGCATAGCGTTGCCTGTGCATGCCTCAGATTTACAAGCTCATCCAGCAAAACTACCTTGGCCACATAACGGAATTATATCTAGTTATGATCATGCCGCTGTACGACGAGGCTATCAAGTGTATAAAGAAGTGTGTAGTGCTTGTCATAGTCTAAGATATCTGTGTTACCGACATCTTGTTAACGAAGTGCTAACCGAAGCCGAGGCTAAAGAAGATGCAGCTGAAGTAAGCTTAATGTGTCCTGTGTTGTTACTGTTGTTGTCTAACCTTGAATCCCTCTAAATGCCAAACAGTCAATTTCACCTTTAAGCACTCACGAGGTGTGCAACATAGATGGCACTGAAATAGTGACCAAGTCGGAAATTAAATATCTTGGCGTCATTCTATCTGCTGATCTTTCCTGGTCGTCTCATATCTTGACGATTTCTAAGAAAATATTCCGTCTTACCTTCTACATCAAGAAGTTAAGACATTCTGGTATAACCCACGATTCGTTAACATCCGTATTCTGCCTATTATTCTCTATTGTTCCCCCTTAGTTTTTCCAGGGCTACTGAAGAAAGACTATACCTTATTACGCAGGATGTTAAAGGTTGTTAGCAGGATAAGCAACGTGCCACTTAACCAGCTTGTTAACATTTTAGTTGACAGGCACTTGGACTCATGTGAAAAATGGGATAAATCCATTTGATCTAACTCACACCACCCTCTTCATTTACAACTCTCCCCTTGTATCTCATCAGGCAAAACTAGAAGCCTATATAGAAAACTATATGCGCTCGCACTAGTAAGTACAAAAACTCAACCATACCCTATTTAGCTCGTGTTCTGTGCGATAAAGAAAGCATTAAGCGTGATACCTATAACTTATTAAATAGTCAGTAGAACAACTGGATCTCGTCTTTCCCACTCATATCGTTTATAGGTACAACATTTTTCTTTCTTTCTTTCTTTCTTTTCCTTTTCTCTCCTTTTTCTCTCTATGTTATGTGCTCCTTTGTTTCTCTCTTCTGCTTACGCCAGTAAATATGCTAGCACCTACTTTTCTAACACCTTCAAACACCGTTCAATTTTTGGCTTTGCTACCGACATGCCACTATGTTGTCATAATGAACTGAGATTTCCTTAATCTATGTAGAATTTTATTTATTGTTGATGTACTAACTGCATGCGATACTGTAGTGAAATGCTGAGAATTCCATTCTGTATCACAAGCACTGTTTTAGAATAAAGCAAATTATTATTATTATTAAATTTATTGGAAATGCATCACTAAGCAGTACTTGTCTGAGGGTAGATTTCTTCGTCTTCTTTTGTTGTTTAGTTTCAAAAACAGTTTTCCAGCAATCACTTTAGTTGTCATCAGTATGATTTTTTTTATTGAGATACACATGGGAGAGGCGAAACAATTGGGCATTTTGTCTTTATTTCTGGAACTAAGTATTGGTTGGCTACTGAGTACACAGCATAGCTTAGCTACGTTGAAAGTCCTTTGGAATACACGAGGGTTGAGAGCCTACTGTTGTAAATTTTTTTCTTCCACAGCTGTTCTTTCTCTTACTGTCGAAGAACCGATAGTTGCTACCTTGACGTGGTGGTCAGGCTTCCACATCGCGATGACCCAACAAGCTACACTGGCTGGAACCAATGTTCCTGCAAGTCCTACCATACCAGGAAGGTTGTTAGGATAGTGATTAGACTAAAAGCAGTCACCGGCATAGTGTAAGAAGTCGTACTACTAGGGAATAGGGGTGTAACAGCAGTGAGGTGTTTCTCTTAGATGACCAGCATGCCAACTATGCTGTCTCTCCACTCTGGAGAGAGGGGGTTAAAAGAGGTCGACCCCAAAAATCGTATATCCCGAGTTACCCTACGGTGGTCCATAACCGGCGGTAAGTTTACTACTACAGAACCAAACCAAGAAACCAGTTCATACAGACCGTGTGTGACCGACCAGCCTCAAGCAGTTGTCCCCTGGGCTCTGCGGTCACGCAACACTGACCCCTCTCTCTGTTTCAGGTACCTGAAGAATCAATATATATTGCTATATATATATTGATTTTAATTAATATTGCTCCTGTGTTCCTGTTTCTTCAGTCAACTAAAAAGTGGTTTAACTATCTACGTTAATTATTTATTTTTTCTTCTTTCTTATAGCATATGTATCCCGATGGACCAGATGATTCTGGGAAAATGTTTGAACGACCAGGTCGTTTAACTGATCTTCTCCCAGAACCTTATGAAAATTCTCAGGCGGCACGTGTAGCCAATAATGGTGCTGAACCCCCTGATCTAACATATATTGTTAAAGCTCGACACGGCAATGAAGATTATATATTCCATCTGTTAACCGGTGAGTAGTTGATTTGATTAAAAAGTGTTCTTATCACTTTCTAATGTGTCACTTTCTTGTTTTGTGTTATTTGTGTTTCAAGACATCAATCAATCTTCTAGTATTGATTTTGTAGGAATTGTGTTTTTTTTGTGATTGGTTGGAGGGTTTCATCACAAGCTGACACATCGATTAGAGAACCATTGGAAAACCAGCGCTAAAGTACTGCCAGACAGCTGTTTCGTCCCAGTTTGGGACTCTTCATAAATACGCACAAGCCGGGGTTCCGGATTATTATTACTATTATTTCCTTTAATTCCTAGAGGAACATAGGGCTTCAGCCGCGCGTCTCCATTGCGTTCGGTTCTCTGCTAGAGTTTTCACCTGGCTCCAAGTCTGACCACATGCTTCCATCTCCTCTCCACATGACCTCCTACATGTCACCCTCTCACTGACGACCAAATCAACGCTTCCCTTTCGGGTTCCACTCGAGCAATGGCTTGTCTAGTGGTCACTTGATGGTTTGTTTGCACAGAGTATGGCCAATCCATCTGCATTTCTTCCTGCTTATATGTTTCACAATCGGTTCCTGGTGGGTTGGTTCGCTCCCAGAGATCCTCGCCCTGTTACTGATCTTTTCTGGCTGGCCATCTGATCTTGAGTAGTATTGAGCGAAGACGGTTGTTAGTGAAGGTCTGTAGTTTGTTTGAGGTGCTCTTTATGACGCACTAGCCAAGTCTCTGATCCGTATAGTCAGTAGCAATGACTTCACATTGAAATTGAAAATCCGGATCTTATTTTTCATGCTGAGTGGTGCTGTTGACCTCCACATGTGAAACGATTTCATTCGATTACTACGTTACATTAACGTCGTTATATAAAACTCTTATTTCTATGGAGTTTCTTGCCAAAAAATTGTGGAACTTATTGTATTTATTTGACTTTCGAACACTGAATCTGTGGATATAATCTTGTTGACAGATAATACCTATAATTATCTGTTTGCTATCTTGTGCTTGTCTAACAATAACAAATATTTATAATTGTATGTATTTTCAAGTATTGGTTTTGTAGGGATTTTATTTGATTGCATGGAGGATTTAATCTCTAACTGATGTTAGCTTATGATGAAATCCTCTATGCAATCAAACAAAATCCCTACAAAACCAATACTTGAAAATTAATCTGATGCTCACTAGCGACTGGCCCTATTCAAGCAGTTAACCTGGGGTTCTAGTGAGAAGCCGTGACCAGTAGGGTACAGCAGGTTGAAGATGAGGCAGTAACTACTCATCGAAGAAGACATTGCGAAATGGTCGCGCTATGTAATGAACTGGCAGAAGTTGGAATTCATTGACCATTGGATTGGGTCCCAGTGGCTCAATGGTCTACGAGCTAGCTCACCTTGTAACCAGAAGGTCCTGGGTTCGAACCCTGTCGGTGGATGCGTACTGCTGAAGAGTCCCAAACCAGGCTGGTGAAACAGCTGTCCAGTATTCCCTGCAGGTTTTCCAGTGGTTCTCTAACTGATGTCAGCTCATGATTAAATCTTCCATGCAATTGTATTTATTGATGGATTTACGTGTTCAATTTGGCTCAAGTCAGTGAGTCTATGATTTTGGTATCATTTTGGTTAACTGTGATATTACTATTGTTGTTGTCGCTTGTTGTCCTTCTTGCTGTGTATTATTTTCCTTTTGCTGGTGTTGTTCTGATTGTTTTATTCCTTGTTTTCCTGGTTTTAAGGGGAGCAACCCATAAGGTCGCTTCTCTCTAAACTATATCTTAATGTAACAATCGCTTCCTCAGGCGTGAGGCTAGCAACCCCACCCTGTAAACAAAGTTGCTACAGAAACTTCAGAACGAAAAAAATCTCCTTGCGCCAAAAGAAAAAGTCTGTGTGGGGACATGGAACGTCCGCACCATGTACGAAATTGGCAAAGCTGCCCAGATCGCAAACGAAATGAAACGATACGGAATTCAAGTACTGGAGATATGTGAAAGCAGATGGAACGGGAATGGATTCACCAAATTGTCAACGGGTGAGTCAGTGATCTACTCCGGGTCACCCAGAAGATAACCACACGCACACCGAGGGTATGGCTATCATGATGTCACCAACGGCAACGAAGGCCCTGATGCAATGGGAGGCGATATCGCCCAGGATAATGACCGCCAGATTCAACTCCAAAGGAAGGAAAGTGTCAGTTATACAATGCTATTAAACGCATACCTTAACCATTTCATACGATACAGTTTGACAACCTCATCGATCGATTCCCCCTCCTTATCTGATGCTGTACACTGTATTACTTACCGTTTTATATCACATCAAGTAGGCTATATATGCATATATTTCACGGGACTTTATATATATATATATATATATATATATATATATTGCTTGTATTTATACTATATTTTTGTTCTTGTAGGTTACATGGATCCTCCACCAGGTCGTACAGTTCCTGATGGTCAGTATTATAATCCATATTTCCCTGGTGGTGCATTAAGTATGGCAAGAGTATTGTATGATGATTTGGTTGAATATCCTGATGGAACGCCTGCTACAACTAGTCAAATGGCAAAAGATGTTGCATCTTTCCTTTGTTGGACTTCTGATCGTAATCATGATGAGCGGAAACGTGTTTTGTCCAAGGTAACTATAGTAATTTTATTATTTATCTTATATAATTGTTATTACCAATCCTCCAACAAAAGCAGAAATCTTGAATGTGATTGAGCTACTGAAGTTCAGTCGGGAAGGCAGCAAGGCCAGGCAGAATTTCCCCAGCCCTAAGCACTGTAGATGGACCCAGAGACTGCGGCAAATGTCTTCACGCCATTATTACGAAAGGTTTGCAAGAAAAGAAAGGTGCCTAATGGTTGGAAGAAAGACTGACTACCTTGTCAAGCTACCAAAGAAAGGCGACTTACGCCTCACAGTGCAAGATGCAGCGTGGAATAATACTGTTGTCCACACCAAGTGAAATACTAAGTCGCGTCATCCTAGAGGGAGAATGAAAAAATGTATTGGATGCAGAACTCCAGCTCACCGGAACAAGCTGGATTCAGAAAAGGCAAACCGACGTGAAGAACCTAGAAGACCTGGATTTCGCGCGTGGATGATTTATGTTCTATGTCACACAAAATCGAAGACTTACAAGCGAAAACCGACAAAGTGGTCGAAGAAGTAGCCGGTAAAGACAGGACTCCAGGTGAACACAGACAAGACGGAGGTTATGAAAATAACCAAACCAACAACAACAGCAACAACATCCAGCGCCAATCACCATCAACGGAAGGGATTTGAAAGATGTTACTTCATTCACTTATCTAGGGAGCATTGTCTCAACTACAGGCAGTCGGAACGGGCGAGGATGTCAAATCGAGCGAGAATCGGGAAGGCGAGAAACGCATTTATCAACCTGAAACCAATCTGGAAATCTTCGTCACTCAGCCAGAATCAACAACGAAATTCGGATTTTCAATGCAAACAACGTCAAGTCAGTCAGTTCTTCTCTACGGAACGGATCAGAAACTTGGCGGGCGAGTCACAAAGAATATTTCCAACAGCTTGCTGCAGACCTTTATCAACAACTGTACTGTCTTCGCTGGCTCTATACTGAAGATCAGGTGACCGGGCCGGAAAGAATCACCGACAAGAAGCTATGGGAAGAAACAAAACAAGAACGAATCGCCAACCAACAAATATGCAGGAAATGGAAAGTGGAGATGGATTGGACACTCACTGAGGAGGCCGCTGGGTGACATCGCGCGCCAGGCCATTGCTGAAGTGGAACCCGAAAGGGAAACGGCGAGTTGGACGTCGGTGCAAGGGTGACATGGAGGAGATCGTGTGAAGAGGAGTTGAAAGAGTATGGACTAACATGTATGCAGGTGAATAGTACAGCAGAAGACAGAAGCAAGTGGAGACGTGCAGTTGAAGCCTTATGTTCCACTAGGAACCCAAGGGAACAATAATAATAATAATAAATCATGTGCTGTTCAAATTGCAACTCTGTGGATCGTCATCACAGAACAAAGCATAGAATGGCAGTCATATCTATCTCTACCGCAACTCCATGGACTTAGAAAAGGCCTTCGATAGACAGTGATTTGGAAACTGCTTCAACACTACAGCATGCAGTCCTCAAGTCTTTATCAACGCCATTCAACATCTGGCTAGATGACAATGGCACGTATCAGGTGATTCACAACGAAAAACTCATCGAGGCGTTCATAGTGAATGCAGGAGTAAGACAAGTTTGACTGTCTGTTATCACCAACGATAATATTCTTCATTATAGTGGAGTAGATTATGCGTCAGACTGCGTGTTGGGAGTAAGAAGACAGGAATACGCTTGACCCCCGATAAGAAGACTGTAGAAGATCTGGATTTCGCGTGTGGCGGATTTACGTTTAATGTCACGTAGACGCAAAGCCAACAAAAGCCAACAAGCCTGACAGAAGAAGCAGGCAAGCAGCAAAGACAGGACTGACTCCAGGTGAACATAGGAAAAACGGAGGTGATGAAGATAACCAACCAACCAACCAACAGCAGCAACGGCAAACGGCACCAATCACCATCAACGAAAGAAACTCGAAGAAGGTCACTTCTGTCACCTATCTAGGAAACATCGTTTCAACTGCAGGCAGAGGCAAGCACGAATGAAGCTGTCATAACCAGCCAGAATTAGAAAGGCAAGATACACCTTCACCAATCTAAAATCAGTTTGGAAAATATTCTGCACTCAGCCAGCAAGCATAACACAGCAAGACTAAGATTTTCAGCACAAATGTGTGAGATCTGTCAGTGAGTCAATTCTTCTATATATGGATCAGAAACTTGCACTGCGCGTGAGTCACAAAAAGGAATTCCAGCAGGCCACTGCAGACTTTTATGAACAGCTGCCCACTTCCCTAGCTGGCTCCATACTAAAGATCAAATAGCTGGTTGGCCGGTCAAAAAGAGTTACTGGCGAACAAGCAACTCTGGCAATGAACAAACCAACAGGCGAGAACCGATTGTTCAGCAAATATGTAGGAGCGAATGGAGATAGATTGGGTATACGTTAAGGAGGTCGTCGAATGGAATTCAAACGGGAAGCGACTAGTGGGTCGTCGCTGGTGCTAGGGTGACATGGAGGAGATCGTGCCAGGAGGAGATGATGGGAGATTAAGGGCAGTCGTGGGTCTAGCCAGATGAAGAGGACAGCAGAAAATAGCACAAAGTGGAGGTGTGTTGTTGAAGCCCTAAGGTCCACTTGGAACCCAAGGGAATAATAGTAATAATTGTTATTGACTAATGACTATACACGTATGTATAACGTTAACGAACTTTGATATCTAAGAATTATTTTGCAGTGATTTTATCTGTTTCAAGCGTGTTCATGAGCTGACATCAGTTAAAGAACCGTTGGAAACCACCATGTAGACTAGCCTGTTGTCCTGAGTTTGAACCCTGGTGGGGGACAAGAGTATTGCCGAACAGTCCCAAACTGGGACGAGATAACTCCCCAGTACTTCCTAGTCTTCCAATAAGTCTCTAACTGATGCCGGCTCATGATTAAACTTGAGATCTGCAGAATATGTTTTAAGAGACCAACGTGAATAATTGATATGTGTTTTTCTTACAGAATCGTAGCGACTTTTTTTCTAGAGTGATACCACGTTTAATATTCACAGGAAGCGTTATATTTTACAGTTCCCTTTGTTATAATCGCCTTCCTCGACGGGGAACGTTAGCTGCCGACATAGGATGATCAGGTTGGAAAAGAGCTAGTAGCGGTCACACTGAAACATGGCTTCATCACTCAATGAAATAAATCCATAACAGTTGGTTTAAACCGGCCAGCCAGCCACGTAAAGAGGTGTACACTGGCTGGCTGGCTTGGTTAAGGTCCTTGGGATGGTAAAACCCAGTGAAGGTGACTGGAGACAATTGGTGATATGGCTCAAAATCTTCGTTATCAATGGCTGGCGCAGATGCATTCACCAATGTTTTTGATTTGTCATCTCCAATAAAATTATATTGTTTACAGGATTTCATCATGAGCTGACATTGTTTAGAGAACCATTGGAAAACCAGCACTAGAATACTGAACAGCTGTTTCGTCCTAGTCGTGACTCTTCATCAGTACGCACTTACCACCCCACTGAGTTTCGAACCAAGGACCTCCTGGTTACAAGGCGAGCTCGTAGACCCATGAATTCTAACTTCTGCCAATTCACGATATAGCGCAACCGTTAGCCAATGTCTTCGGCGAGTATTTGTCCTCACACCCGACCTGCTGCGCCCTACTGGTCACGATTTCTAACCAGAACCCCGGGTTAATACCTACCTGAATAAGGCAAGTCGCCAGTGAGCATCTCATCGACATTCAAGTGTTGGTTTTTAGAGATTTGATTGGGTGGGGGTGCGTACTGCTAAGGAGTCCCTGAATAGGACGAAACAGCTGTCCAAGTACTCCAGTGTTGGTCTTCTAGTGTTCCCCTAACCAGTGCTTGCTCATGATGAAACCCTGTAACCAATCAGTCAATCAAACAACTCGAACTACTGCACATCTGTGCAAAGTTCTATTTGGAAACCAGTCAGCCGGTCAGTCAATAATTCAAGTGTTAACACCAAATAAAATCTTGCTTGATTGGTTTTACATTCTCTTCTTTTTTCAGCGTTTGTCCATTTCAAATGATGTTTATATGAGTAGTTATACGGTAGAGAAACATGTGTTTTGTGTGCGTGTATGGGTTACTTTTCTTGAAGATGTATGCTTGCAACATAACTGAGAGAGATATATTTCATCTTGCAGTTGAAATTAGTCACCTAGTGTTTCTTTTGTCCTAGTTTCCGTCCGACTTGTATACACGGTTAGCTTTTTGTCACTATCATCGATGGGTATCCTTTCTATTCTATCTCAGTATACACTTTAACATTGATTTAGAAAGTCAATACTATTTACAAGTATTGGTTTTGTAGGGATTTTGTTTGATTGCATGAAGGATTTCATCATGGGCTGACATCAGTTAGAGAACCACCGGAAAACCTGCGGGGAATACTGGACAGCTGTTTCGCCAGCCTGGTTTGGGACTCTTCATAAGTACGCACCCACCGACAGGGTTCGAACCCAGGACCTTCTGGTTACAAGGTGAGCTAGCTCGTAGACCATTGAGCCACTGGGACTCGATCCAATGGTCCTTGAATTCTAACTTCTGCCAGTTCATGACATAGCGCGACCATTTCGCAATGTCTTCTTCGATGAGTAGCTACTGCCTCATCTTCAACCTGCGGTACCCTACTGGTCACGGCTTCTCACTAGAACCCCAGGTTAACTGCTTGAATAGGGCCAGTCGCTAGTGAGCATCAGATTAATTTTCAAGTATTGGTTTTGTAGGGATTTTGTTTGATTGCATAGAGGATTTCATCATGAGCTGACATCAGTTCTTCTTCTTCTAGACTTCAGTCAACTTGTAATGTAATACTATAGAGTGAACAGTGTTCAGTATCATCATCATTTCAATAGTTAATCAATGTGGAATTTTAGGATGTTTATACAGTAGATTATTGCAGTTACTCGCGTCTGTGGAATAGCTAAGAAATTTATCGTTTTCATCATCATAGATGTATCTCATAGTCTAAGTAGTAGTATCATGATCGCTTTTTTTGTCTACACTCTACTAACCAGCCTTTTGTCTTTTTATTCCTGTACATTCTGAGTCGGCTTCAAGCTTAGTCTTTGAAGTTTCAGTAGTAATCGGGTCCCAGTGGCTTAATGGTCTACGAGCTAGCTCGCTTTGTAACCAGAAGGTCCTGGGTTCTAACCCTGTCGGTGGGTGCGTACTGTTGAAGAGACCCAAACTAGGACGAAACCGTTTTCTAGTACTCCCAGGTATTTCAATAGTTCTCTAAGTAATGTCAGCTCATAATGAAATCCTGTAACCAATTGTGTTTTCAATTTTCACAGTGTAAGGTTGCCAGCCTTTCTCTTGCTAAGCGTTCTCTCTTTGCCTGGCGTACTACAGGCTAAGCCCGTTGTTTAGGAGTACGTTGGTAGGGGGATCATATCTGGGACCATGTGTGTGTGGTTGGCGAGTATTCCTACGTCACTGACTGACTGACTGGTATTGACGTAAATCTCTGCACAGATGTGCATCAGTTCGAGTTGACACACTGTGTAGCACACAACTCAGGAGAAGAAAGTAAAGAGGAATGATGAAAAAAATGTGAGGCAAAAAGAATAGTAGGAATATGGAAGAACAATAGAATTTTATTGCATATGACAAATCACAAAGAGCGGCGAATGCATCTGTGCCAGCCATTAAGAATGAGAATTTTGAGCCATACTAGCAATTGTCTTCAGCCGCATTCATTGGTTTTTACCATCCTGGGGACATCAACCAACCAACCAGTCACGTGCTGCACATGCCTAACCATCGCCTCCCCCGACGGGGATTACTAGCTGATATATAATTGCAGGTTGGAAAAGAGTAAGTGGTGGCCAAACAAAAACATGGCATCAATCCATGAAGTTCTTGACAGTTAAACTGAGTCAGGTAGGGAGATGCAGACTCCCGGGTTGGGGCCCTCGGGACTCTAGGAATCAATGGCTGGAGACAATAGGTGACATGGCTCAAAATCGTTGTCAATGGCGCAGATGTATTCAGTCTCTGCAATCTTTCATATTTCTTTCTACCATTACCCATTCTGTTTCGCTCTTATACCTGTCAAACTCTATTGATTCTCTTCACTCATCTTCTTGTCTACCTTTGTGTGCTATTTGGAACGTGGCAACTCGAACTGGTGCACTTCGGTGACAACTTCTATGTTGAATCCAGACAGACCAGTCAGTCTGCACCTCCCTAAGTGGTTGATTGGCTGCTTGACTTAAACTGTGATGGATTTATTTCATTGACTGATGAAGGCATGTTTTGGTTTGACCACTACTAGATCTTTTCCATTCAGAGCCATTCTATATCAGCTAACACTGCCCGCCAAGGAAAGCGGTGGCTGGGCATGCGTAACACATGTCCTAAACTTCTCAATCAGTATAACTTCATAACCTCGTCAACGCAGCAAGTCTCTCTGACAATCTAAACCCAACACATCCAATAGGAATGACTCATCACTCATACCAGAAATATGGAAAATATTACTACCAATCAAGTCAAGCGATGAGAAATAATGGAATTATACAAACGAAGTTAGAAAGTTGTGTGAGTAACTTGATATGATTATGAGCAGTAATAAATTGCGGTGCTCGAAACGTTATCAGTAAATATTTACTGTATAACACTGTTAGAATTTATCAAAATAAATTTTAACCACACTGGAATTAGCTCCACGATTGTCTATAAGCTGTCATCTCCATGTCACCCTGGCACACAGACGTTCAAATCGTCGTCTCTCGTTTGAGTCCCACCTGAATGCTTGCCTGGTGCGTAATGCCACTTAATGGTTTCCGCAGTGATGAATGTGATGCGTCTCCATTTCTTATTGCATATTTATTGGCTGATAAATACATGGTTAGTTCGTATGTGACTATTCCTCATATGGACCCGTTCCAGTGTGTTCAGTAACTTTCTTAATATGGTCAGATTTATCCCCTTGTCCGCCTTTGCGATAACAATATTTTTATCTGGCTTTAGTCTAATTAAAATTCGTCTTTCTCACCATTTTTTTAAGTGTGATTGTGCTTTCTTTTGATTTTTCAAGGTTTAATACACATTATACTCGAACCTTTTCTAGTGTCATCTGATCTATTGGACTTAATGCTATTTCAGTGTTTTATGAGTTTTATGTTTTATGGGTTTACTTTACTGACTGTTATGTTGAAATTTAATCTTTTCTTGGGTACTTTCCTCTCACTAAAGCTTAGTTCCCTTCCTTGGTGAGAGAGGTTGATCACTCACATTTCCTTCTGTTAAATAGAAGATGAAACGTTGTTGTCAAATTCTTTGCTATATATGATGGTTTATTAATTAGGTAAAAGCTTTTAGTCTATATCTCCCTTACGATTCACAATAATGCTTGTAATGTATTTGTTTGTTAGGTGATGGCTAGCAGCAAGATCTAAGTCGGGATGCGTTTTTACAAAATCTTAATTAGAACTAGTCGACTAAATGTTTTCCCCACTAAGATGCTTACACAACTCTCGCTGTTTTTTTGCTAGCCATTGACCAGTGGGATACAGCAGGTGGTCGGGCGTGAGTACAAATACTCCCCGGCGATAACATTGATTAGTGGTCGCGTTATGTCGTGAATTGACAGAATTTGGAATTCATGGATTGACTGGTCATTGAATTGGCGGGTCCCAGTGGCTTAATGGTCCACGAGCTAGCTAGCCTTGTAACAAGAAGGTCCTGAGTTCGAACCTCAGCCGGGTGGTAGGTGCGTGCTGATGAAGAGTCCCAAACTAGGCTGATGAAACAGTTGGCTATCGCGTATTTCAGTGCTGGTTTTCCAGCGGTTCTCTAACCGATGTCACCTCATAATGAAATCCTGTAACCAATTATAGAGGTATTCTTATTTGTCAGGTGATAACATAACATTACTGACTTTCAAATGCATATTAACTCTTACCCTTTTTTCTCCTCCTTTTTATTTTTCTTCAAAAAATTGCTCATTATAGGCGGCGTTAGTCACAGGCATGTTGGCAATCATCGCTGGTATATACAAGCGGAAACGTTGGTCGGATATTAAAACAAGAAAGGTTATCTATAAGAATCGACCTATACCTAAAGATGTGTAGTAGTCAGTCAGTCTTCAGTGAAATCAATATCCATCATGTTGTTTCCCACCATGCGCTCTCACCGCCTGCCTATCTCTCTCTCTCTCTCTTCCTTCGATTGTGTATCCCAATGTGAGCAGAAGATTACATGTCTGATGCATATGCATAGACTATTAGGTTTTATGTTATATATATATATATATATATATATATTCGTGTGGATTAGTTCTATGCATAGGTTGTACAACTCACTGATGAAGTCTGCCTTTCAGACTTATATATGTGTTTGCCTAGTTTAATTTTTGAAAAGATTTCTATAAAAATGTAGTTCTTTTGCAGAATTTCGTTTTTTTTGTTATGTTTTTGTCTCCTGTCCGCCCCGCAATCTGTCTTTAGAGATAGTGGGGAAGTATTTATTACCTGGCACGGGGCGGAAGGAGGCTGGGATTCACCAAAACTCTCTGTAATAAACGTAAACATTGCTACATGTTTAGCAGCAGCTCCTAGAGGGTAGAAGAACGTATTGTTTTCCTTACTGCATAATGAAAACAGAGAGAGAGAATTGGGAGTACTTTATATTCTTTTTGTGGTTCAGTGAAGAATAGTCTTTTTTCGGCGGTGAATTCATTCACGTAGTCGTACAATCGCAATTGCCTGTATACTTATTTTTGTATGTGCTTGTGTGTGTGTGTGTACATTAGGTTTGTCTGATAAGAATAAAAATTAGTTAGGGTTTTTGTTGCCAAGACATTTAGAAAAATGTGATAAGTAATCGGGTTCTTTGATTGGACACTAGTCAGTGATGTGACTAGTCCTTTGTGTTTTGGTGTAGACTGAATTATATCAGTTAGTCAGTCAGGTTTGTAATGTGGCCACCATGCCACTAGGTAGCTTGCCATCACGGTGCACATTGATTTGATGATATTAGATGGTTGGAGGCAATCAGCAGAAAGCTTTGAACCACCTAGGTTTCGTGCCAGTTGGCTGGCACTCACTAGCCATCAAGACAGGCATATCTGTAATCTCGAAGGAATTAACTCATGTCCCTTCTGAGATTCGAACCCCTTGTCATACTCGGTGCTGCAATGACAGACGTTATCAGTGAGCTATTCAGCCTCGCGATTGACCTCCTTTAGTTGATACGGATCCGAATCTCAGGAAAGGCATGAGTTCCTTCAAGGCAGTTGCAAATATGCCTTGCTGACACGAGTGCCGACTAGCACGAAACCTAGGTGGAAGGCTTCCTGTGGCCGATTGCCTCTACCTATCTAATAAGTAAGCAGATTGTAACTGGAGGGGGAGTGAGGATTGTTAAGAGGGTAGTTGTGAGGTGTTGTCAAAAATCATACTTAATAACACATAAAGAAAGTTGAATAAACTTGATTCAGTTACGTAATAAGATGGATAGTTTAATGAGTGAGTCGTGATTAGAATTCCAATAGAAACAAACGAAAATATAGAATTACGTAAGAGTTCTAAAATTACAACTTTTATAAAGAGTTTGAACACAGACATCAAGTGAGTAGAAATCAACAGTTATTTCCATGATGGTAGAAGTGGTTGGATGATTTTCTTTCGCACACATAACTCTGTTTTTTTTACAAATGAATGCCCAAGGATTCAGCAATACAAAGGGGACGAGAGCGTATTGCCTTTGGTAGGTTATTCTTCACTTTGAAGCAGGAGGCGTTTGTTGAGTAGGGATGACCAGTGTTGACTAGATAACCGATTATCGCACTCCTTATACAGCCATTACTACCTTTTTGTACCCATGTGGGTTAGTATTCCCGAATACCTTTGGACAAGATATGCGTAGAACTACCAATACAGCTGGCACCACAACTGAATGTGAACTGATACATGCGAGATCTTATCTCTAAGGCTTCTTCAAATCAGTGAACAACTGACTGGAGAACACTACTCTTAGCGTCGCTGCGAAGAATGTTCCTCTCAAGGATCCTGAAATTTTTCTGTTAAGAATATCCAGATTCATGTAAAGTATCTCTTTTAGAACAAGTGACGTTTTGTCCGTCTGAACTTTGGGTTTGATATTCTTGTCAATGAATCTTGGCGGTTATCCTTTTTTTGGATGAAGATTACTTTCAGAAGATGCAATTCTAATTCTAGAGCGTCAGGACTGCAGATGCGTTGAATCCGAGTGACTTAATCAGATTTCGTTCCCACTCAATAGGTACCCAACTGTAGAAACTTGTTAGCTGACCGTTCCAAGTGGATTTTCTATGGATTGATCTTCTTAAGGTTACGTCAGTTCGTCTTGCTAGTTGCACATCAAGAAAGGGAACTTTGGATTAGCATTCTATTTCTAGAGTGAATTTTATCGCCGAATGGTAGTTGTTGAATATTTGTAGCAACTGACTTTCGTCATAACTATTGTCGCAAACGACAAAAATGTCATCTAAGTATCGTTTGTACAATTGCAAATTGTCAATGGATGACTTAAGTAGACCTTTCTAAAGATTAGCCATGAAACAGTCTGCTAGTAATGGACCCAAGAGAGGTCCTATTACAATATCGTTCTTTTGTCTGTAGATGGTGTCATTGAAAGTAAATGGTACATTGAGAATGCACCTCAGTAGCAGTTCTTTAAGACGTGTTCTTCGTATTCCAGCTGTGATGTCGAGAAATCGAATATTAAGAAAAAAGAGTACTCTAGGCACATCATACTTACTTAACATTCAGCATAGAAAAACTTCCCATTCAGACATTATATATATATATTACAATACACATTTTACCGGTCAAGTGGTGATATGTTTCTTAATAATAATTAGTCAGTATCAACATGTCAATCGGCGGTGATAACTAACAAAGAAAATCAATACACAAAACTAAGTGTTCAGCGAAAATTTCATCTTCCATTGATCCAAGTGAAAAAAAAGTTGAGAAACAACTAATTGAATGACTAAAAAGCCTTCAACAGAAGGTTTATGTAGATCAGTCAAGCCTACAGATACGGACGGTCACATCAAGATTATATGAGCTACCAAAAGGGCATAAAAATGGTTTGCCACTTCAACCAGTGTTGGGCATTATGTAATTCTCCATATCACGCACGCAACAGGAAAATGGTTGGTGAAGCTCCTAAAACTTCTGCATAACTAATTGGTAAAAGGTGTAGTTCTGAATTCGCTGGGAAAAAAAAGAGATCTTAATGTGAATGACAAGTTTATGATATCTTTTGATGTATCTTCTTTATTCACCAATGTACAGCTGATTGAGACATTGGATTTTAAATGTAATGAGATTACTAAGCGAAACATGGACATTGGTATTTCTGTATCCTTCATGAAGGAACTTGTTTTAAGACGTACAACGAATGTTCATTCCTTGTTCAATAAGGAATACTATAGATAAACTGATGGTGTGTGGCTATGGCGCTTACCCATTAGATCCAATCCTAGCTGATTTTTGTCTCGCCAAGTTAGAGAATGGGTCAATGAAAGGAGTAATTATAATGAGTTAGAATCCTACTGTCTATATATGGATGATATATTTCTGCTTATGATAGACGAGAATAAAGCAGTGAACATCCTCGAAAAATTCAGTGATGCACATTCAGCAATAAACTCTTCGCCATAAAGTGTAGGAATGATTACAATAAGTGGATTGCGTAATGCATAATTTTAGAAAAATTAAGTATAATTAAGGAATAAACGAGTGAATTCAAGAAGCACAGTTGTTAGAAATATTACTCTTATTACCGCCAGCTATGCACGGGGTTCGATTCTCGGCTAGTGTACACTTTTACCTCCCCCAGTCTGTCGTAAACACAACAAAGAGAGATGGTTAGGCATGCGGCCAGCTACCTCACCACCCTATGAAAAAATACCACTTCTATTGTAATTTCAAAGCTTGAAGCCCTATATTCAACATGGAACGCAAAGGAACAAAATGATAAGTTTTCAAGAGAAGTCGTGACCAGTGAGGTCCAACCAGTTAAGTGTGTGAGGATGGATTTCCCACTGATGACAGTGGTTGGTGGTCGCGCTAAATTACGAATTAGAATTCATGGATCGGCCATTGAATCGACTCCCAGTGGCTGAATGGGATACGAGATTGCCTTGCAACAGGAAGGTTATGGGTTCGAACCCCTTGGTGTGGGTGCTTACTGCCTATGATTCTCGAACAAGGATAAAACAGCTGTCCAATTCTTCAGTGCTAGTTTTCAATGGTTCTCTAACTGTGATATCAATCCGTGGCCAAACTTGTAAAAATGATAAATATTAGCGTGAATACGGGGCAGTTTATCAACTTCCAGAGCTTCGTCCACTGATCCGAAAGCAAAACCTAGTATGTACATTAATTTCAAGCACTCGAAAAATCTGTTCGGAAGACACAACAGAGAAAGAATAATATTTATTACGTGAAACGCTACTAGACGACAGAAATCCACCAAGATTCATAGACAGAAACATGGAGGAAATGTCTTCATCGCTAAAAATCACAACAGTTCCTAAGAAAACTCTCTTCATGAACGTGGAATTCAAAAATGGCATCGAAGCAGAAACTCTTAGAGACCGCCTTTCTAAATATCTGAAGAAGACATTTCAAGCAGCCACCTCACACATCACATTCTCCAGCAGACAGTTAATCCAGTTGAAAGTTAAGGGTAATTTACCGCTTTTGGCCATCTCAATGTGTATTTATCAGTTTAGTAGTAGAGTATATTGACCATATGCAACGTCAAGTCCACAAACCTATTCTGGGACACTGTCCAGCTTGGTTAGCCAGTCAGAGGAGAAAAGAAGAATACTAGCAGCTCCATCCTCGAACACGTATCTTGTCAAATCTGGATATCTAGCACCCCCTACTGCATGAATGCTTCACAGAGTCCCTGATAATCGTACAAAGGGGCTTTGCATGCGCCATCTGTACGTAACTGCTGAATCATTAGCTATTTGCGATCAGGAACTCGACCTCTGCATTCAAAAGCACTGTATACATTCACACTGCCTACCGTGACCAGAGTAACGTTCTTACTATAATTTTGCTTGTTTCTTATTATGTAAGTTTACTATTATTATTGTTATTACTACTATTATTATGTCATTATTATTCCCATCATTCGTATTTTATTACCACTCTATTACTGTTGATTAATAAAATTGCTTTTTCATACAGATTTTATACAAAAACACTTTATAGCCTTTCCACTAGTTCCTGTCCATTCTACACAATCTTATTGATTAGTCATTATCTCACACCTATTACGTAATGCCAACTTCTGCCTCTTTTCTAACTTCCGATTAGTCACCCCGTCTAGGTTACACCTAGCATTACGTAACACGTTTTTCGAGGACAAATTTTACCAGTATCTGATTTGTCTTATGATTTCTTTGTTACATATAATTACGATTATTGTACAGCAGCTTATGAAAATGAATTGTCGAAAAGAAAATTTTCTTCGCTGTTTACGGCTTTTTCTTATATTCAGTTATCTATCTATGAACATGAAGTGTAGTCGAATGTAATCCCAAAAATATTGATGCAAAATTACACACTGTCTACAGTGTTTAACAAAAGTAGACTAATATTTATCAGTTTGAGGTCAAATTTTGATCACAGTTCATGAAGTTTTGTTTATTATCATATTTTGATGACTGTTTCATGACTCATATATTTGGACAATACAAGATATGTCCTTTTTATGTAAATATATCTTAGTTATTTTAATTTCTATTAATTTCCCTGAAAAAGACCAGACTAGTTTGCTTAACGAAACTTTGGAATTACTCATTTCAATAGTTGGACTTCCGATCATCCCATCCTATGTCAGTGAAAATAGGATTGGCGAAATGTTTAAGTGATAATATAGCACAAAAACTGAGTAGTAACAAGCAAAATCTAAGACAGGAAGTGAGGCATACAAGAGAAGCTTTGAAACTCATTAATAATTACCCTAATAAATTAGTCAGAAAGTATGTAGGGAAATGTAAAACTAAAATAAATAATGATAGTAGTAATAGTGATAGTAATAATAATAATATTAATGACGGCACCAACAATAAGGAATCTAAATCATCAGTAGTAATTCCATAGAAGGAAGGAACCTCGGAAACCTTACGCAGAATTCTTAACAATGAAGGCAGGGATAAAAGTAGTTGTCATTCACTCTGCGCACAAACTCAATTAGAAACAAGCTTTGTCGGTTAGAGGATCCTGTGGAGCATTTAAAGCAGAACAGTTAAGTTTATCTAATAACATGCTTGAATGATTGTCAGGTCAAACTAGTAGAACAGGGGCAGTCAATCAGACTAGCCGAGCATAAAAACCTAGCAAAATCTAGATTATTTGGTCCGAATAAGATGAGACATCTAGAGAATAGTTCAGCTATGGCACTACTTGCAATTACACACAACCATACAATAGGATGGGATAGGATGACAGTTTTAAAATCTAATGTCACAGGTTGGAGGGAGATATTGATAACAGAAGCTTTGTTTATCGAATCAACTGAAGAGAGTTCGTGTAATAGGAATGATTCAACGCCTGTCCACTCGGATATCTGGAAAATTCTACTACTCCAACGACGACAAATGGGAGAGAACAGAGAAAACTATAAAACTCAAGTTTCGAAGCCGTGTGATTATAATTGATGATATGATTATGAACAATAAATAAGTTTTGTTCGAAACGTTCATTCAGTAAATAATGATACTGTTTCTTCACTGTGTGATATATCTAATAAACAAACTAATATGGAACTACTTACTACCACAGTGCCCAAGTTTTACACATGTATTAATTTCTCTGAGGTTTTACAAAAGTAATTTTTACTTATGTCTACACAACTAAGCCAAAAGCAGCTAGACTCTGTTAAAATAATATTATTTACTTATCAGCTAGTAGTAACCCATTGAAGTTTAAGCTTTATTTTACCGATCAATAGACAGATAAATAGATGAGTGAAGTTCATTTGTTATACAGTATAATCATAACACTTAATTCATCTTTTATTGCATTCACTCTCTTACTATGAATATATATGTTGTTTGTCATGCACTCATAGTAAACATACTTTTACTGTTAGATTGGTTAGTAATCACTAATTATTATATTTTTGTATATTTGTACACTCTAAACGTGTGCGTTTTATCTAAATAATTCACTGTTAGGTTAGTTTGATTGGACACAAGCAACTCGCTTGATGTGTCTAGTTCTTTCTTTGATTCAGACTGAATTCTATCAGTCAGTCAGGTTTGCCATGTGGCCACCACTCTAGGTAGCTCGCCGTCACGGTGCACATCAATTTGATGATGTTAGATGGTTGGAGGCATTCGGTCACAGGAAAACTTGGACTGCCTAGGTCACGTGCTAGTTGGCTGGCACTCACCAGTCATCAAGGCAGGCTTATCTGCACCCTTGAAGGAACTAACTCTGACTGCAGCACTGGGGGACACGGGTTCGAATCTCAGAACGGACATGAGTTAGTTCCTTCAAGTTTGCGGATATGCCTCGCTGACTGGTGAGTGCCAGCCAACTAGCACGAAACCTAGGTCGTGTCCAAGGCTTCCTGTGACCGATTGCCTCAAACCATTTAATATCAGTAATAGGTCATATAAATTTCAAAAGTAAATTGACAACTTAAACATTATGCCATTATGAGATATTTAAAGGTTAATTAGAATTTCATGAAAAAACAAAACACGTAGTGTTCAGCGAAGAGTCTCTTTTCGGTGGCAAATTCATTTTCTTACCTGTACAATGGCAAATATGCATATGGGTTATATTGTATGTATGTGTACATTGAGTTTATGAAACAAAAATACAATTGGTTATGGTTATTTTAGCTAAACAGGTAAGAATTAGTAAGTTTCGAGGAGAGTTACGTAGTACAAAAACAATCAAGAAAATTGGGTATTCATGAAATTAGAGTAGTAACAAACGTGATGAGTTGTCGCAAACAGCTGTTAAAAAGAGGTTACGTAACATAATATGAATAGTTTGATGAGTGAGTTGTACTCGGTCAGGATACACATAGGAACAAAGTAGAGAATACGAAATTACTTAATAGTTCTAAATGAATATACAAGCATTTAAAGAAACAAGCAAGCAAACAAAATGAAGTCATCAAAAAATCAACAAAGTTGTTACCATGACAGTAGAAGTGGTTGAGTAATTCTCTTTTGTATGCACAGCTCCAGTTTTTCTATGTGAATGTCCAGAGCTTCAGCGATACGAAGAAGACGAAACCTTATTGCCTTCGGTAGGCTATCCTTGACCCTGTAGATTACTTCGAAGCGGGAGGTGTTTGTTGAGTTGGAATGATCAGTGTTAACCAGGTGTTCAATTATTTCACTCCTTATTGCACCACTGTTGCCTTTTCACATTCATGCTAGATAGTGTTCTTGATTCCTCTTGGACAGGATACGCATCGAACGACCGCTGTACCTGGCTGGCTCGACAGCAGCAGGTGAACTAATACATGTACATAGAAGTCGTCAGATGCGGGATCCTATCCTTAAGGCCTCTGCAAATCACTGGACGACTGGAGAAGAGATATTTGCAAAATAATACGAACTCGTTGTATTTCGTGAATTCTCTCTCTTCAACTGCGTACATCCTAAATCAATCAATTATAAGTTACAGAATGGTGTCTGAACATACTTTTTACAATGATTTAAAGTTCTAGATAAAAATTATTGGCAACATAATTTTAAAGATGATGTAAGTAGACAATTATTCAGCGTTAAAAGGGAGTAACTATTTATCTAGTAATTGGACAAAGTAGGTTGAGTTCAGACTTTACTTAGAAACAAGGATGGACTAGAGACAAAATTACAAGATAGAACAACAGAGTGAACTTATACACCTCATGGTGGAAAGTTCAGGAGGGTCAAGGTGGGATTAAAAGTGAAGTAAAATTATAAAATATATAAAAATAATTTAATTTAGTAAATTTGGAACATTAATAGTGAGTTCAACTCAGTGAGTGGAAATCAAAATCAAGTTTGAGTGGAATGTTATGCAGCGGAACAAAACACAAAATCACACGAATAAAACAGTTGTGATTACCACCAGGTAGGGTAGCGAGGGATTAGCCACAATATCTTTCTGTATGCATAGGTTGGGTTGATATCTTTTGTTGACAATGGCTTCTGCAAACCGAAGTAACCATGCTTTCCTTTGTGTATTGATTGATTATTTTGAAAGCCTGACTAATTTCCACTGTATGTTGACCCATGTCAATTACGTGTATCTGGCAATTGCACTCGAGAACACTTTGCGGCCAGTCACATGCAGACTTTCAGGGGTATGCTCGAAGAATCTAGTACACACTGTCTCCTTTCAGTCCTTCCTTCCTATGTATTCTATGCCGCGAGTGTAGGTGAAATGGCAAACACAGTTAGAGTTGACATACAGAGCGTACTGTGCTGTGAACTGGAATGCGTCTGCCGGCAAGAAATGTTTTTTTCAATGCACCTTTAATTCTGTTTTTCGTTCTTATGGATACTTCTTCGCCTTCGTACGCTAGACAGATAAAAACTGGTATCTTTTCCATTATTTCGGGTTTCAGTGCAGATGATTTTTCCTTCTCACATTTTGATATATATGGACGTCTGAGGATATCCATTTTCCACAAGGTTCTTTTGGATGACTGTGAGTCTTTCTTCGATATTATCTTCTGGACACAACACCCTAGCTCTGCTGAAGAGCATTTTCACCGGGCTCCGTTTTTAGCCGTTCGGATAAAACCTGTGATAATTCAGTTACTGACCAGTCAAAGTTTCTTTCCTATATGTGGATTTTTATATTGAGATCTAGGAAGTGGAGCTGATCGCGTTCAGGGCCCATTGTGAATGCTATGTGATGGTAGGCCACCACATCGAGGTTTCTGAACATCGTAGATGTGTGTGATCCATATTGTTGCAAACCACAATCGTTTCATCAACTTGCTTGCAGAAATATTAACTACTCATTATACTATTCAGTAGTAAAGTCTTCAAAAATAAATTTCATCAAATTATTCAACGTTTATTCAGTTAGGTTCTGGGTGGAACATAGAGATTCAGCAGCACACCTCTATTGGACTGTATTCTGTACACTCCCTTTCAACTGGTTCCATGACTAGCCACAAGTTTTTATTTTCTTTTCACATAATTTCATCCAATATGTGCGTCGGTGACACAGTGGTTAGGACTCTCGCCGACCATGCACACGGTCCGAGGTTCGAGCCCACACCGACGCACACCTGATATCTATGGTCGGCCTGCAAAATTTGGGCTACCGACATCCATGCTGAAAATTCATACTTGTACCGCAAATACAGTGTGGAATCAAGTTGTAAATCAAAAAAAAAATCAACCTCGAACTGTCGCTTCCCATTCGGATTCCATTCAGTGGTCAGACAGGTGTGTGATGTGTCACCCAACAGTTTCCTACTAACCTATCTGAATTCCCTCTTTCGTATTTGTGTTATCACTTCACTATTTAACCGATGAATTTTATGTGCGCAGTAGGTTGCAACTACCCAAGTTTGAACAGCTAAGAAATATCGTCTTCGTAGCAGATGTACTTCTTGATCAAATCATATAAATCTGTAAGTATGCGCTGAAGATGTCACCCAGTAAGGTGATGAAAGCTTCGCAAATCAACCATCCAGATCAGAGAACACAACTACACCAAAATCATCCACCTGAGCTACAAATCTTCTCTGCCATATCTGTAAGTTATTGCTGAGATCTGCTGTCATCAATTGTCACCTATCTCGCCCGCCAAACTGACCACCAGCTCAATTAGCAATATCATTATGCGAATATAAGTTTTTTATGTAAAAACCTTGAGTGCGTCAGTGGCACGGTAGTAGAATGCTCGCCTATCATGCTGTGCAGTAAGTACTACCATATTTTCCATTGGTTCTCCAAGTGATGTCAGCTCAACATCAATCCCTGTAACCAGTCAATCAAATCCCTACAAACCAATATCTGAAAATCATGACTTATTGCAGACACTTTTATGAAAAGGTTTAAAAACATCCTAATCCTACCACCAAATATTAAATGCAAAATTTGGATATGTTACGTAAGTGACCCATTCGTCACCTAATCAGGAGAAACGATTTAGGCAGGACTCACAAATTAATAAACAGCATCTACAAACGACATCAAATACACAAGAGATAGGAATCCGAGGTCAAAATTAAATTTTTTATATATCTAAAAGAAGCGAACAATCACAGAAAAATTAAAAAGCTGAGCATATAGAAAATCAACTCACACCGACTGAATACTCAATGACAACAACAACAACAACCCAATAGAACACAAAACGAGTTGCATATAAACATTATTCGAGATAGCCAGGATGTCGTGCAGATCTCTTGCTTCGAAGAAAATGGGAAGAAAAATACCCCTTAAGGCCGTCTTCACAAAGTGGATATCCATTAAATTTCATCAAAAGACATCTACCCTCAACTCAGCAAAACAAATCAATGGTCTCCAATGAAAGCTAAAAGAAAATTCACCTACTATTATATATGAAGAACATCTCCAAAATCACTATAACACCAGTCAAAGCATTTCCGATCCATATCACTCACAAACCAACAAAATCACTTCACTCAACTGACTGTATATCAACGAAAAAGACAAAACCAACATCATCTATAAGATGAATTACAGTGACTACGAAAAACATTACATTGGTCAAAGTGGACAACACCCTCTTACTCTTAGCACCCACGAACATGAACTGACAGTTAAAAGACATGATATCCACTCCGTCATATCATGTATATGTACACAACACTATAGACACCAAGTAGATGAGGAAATGTTTAGTTCTGAGACAGAAGAAACACCAGAGAATTTCTAGAAGCCTGGCATTCAGATGGATCGGCAATCAACATACACATTGATGTAGATATGATCTGATAATCCATTGAAAGGAAATCACATGAATCAAAGGTTAACTCTCAGGTCAACAAAATAATCAATAGCAATACAATCACCTTGAACGTTCCCAGAAGAGATGGCTGATAAACTGGTGGAGAATTCCAAAATCTCACTTCAGTGTGCACTGAAGATGCAGTCTAGAGTTAGTGAATGAAAGTTAACTTCTCAACTAGGCCATGCGATTTGGAGAATACAACTGCAACAAAAGTTATTGATCTGTTGGGCTCCTAGTGGAACATAGTATTTCAGCAGCTAAATAGCATTTCACTCTTTTCAATGCATTCTCCTTTTTTATCTAGATCCACGAATAACCACAAGGTTTAATTTCTTCCTTAGCACACGATGAAATCCAGGGAGCATGGGACAGCAAGCTGTTTCATCAGTCTAACTTGGAACTCACTAACAGTCCATAGCCACCAACAAGTTTAAAACCCAGAACTTTCTGGTTACAAGGCAAGCATGCTTGTAGACCAGTCCGCCACTTGAACCCTACTCAATTGCCTGTCGATAAATCCTAACTTATGACTACCCGGAACGTCCTGAGTTCGAAATCCGTTGGTGGGTGAGTACTGCCGATGTGTCCCAGGTAGCGGTTGTCCAGTAATTCCCGGCTGGTTTTCAATACTTCTCTATTTGATATTGATCCTATGTGGTCATAATCAAATCCTCACAAATTAACACTTAAAAAGTCTGAATTAGTTATTACACACAATGTTTTTTTGTTGTTTCAATGTGTTATATACTTTGTACAGTATGATAATAATAATAGTAATAACTGTGACAGATAGTATAAACACTACAAGTAGTACCTTATATGATTTTCTCGTTAAATCTTTTCTCTTTATTTTCCCCTCACTTTCTCTAAAGATATTTTTTGTACAATGTATATTTATTTATGAATGTTCCATATTGGTTTCTGCTTTCTTCTCCACTTTTGTTTCATCTTCTGTTTTCAGGATAAAGTTAGTTGGCAGTTTTGGTTTATGAGTAACGCGTTTAGTAAAAGTAGTGGTAGTTGTTGCTGTTGTATTAGGCGGATTCATAGCACCTTCATGCATTGGTGACATTGCCATTCTATCAAATGATCGACCGGAATATAGTCTTAACAGGGGACTTGTATAGGTCGTTGATGCAAAGAGAGGCAGAGAGAGAAACGAAGAAGGATTGTTATCATTACAGTTGATTAAAACAAAGTTTAAAAAAGAGGAATAATTTGTATATATATATGTTAGTGTGCATTACTCAACAACCCCTCTTTGGAAATTCCATATATTTGGGAATAAGCCAGAGCTTATTGTGTAAGCAATATTTCGATTGCCTACTAACCCGAAACGTCAGTAGGTGCAATCGGTTTCGAGCCTGTGACGCAATGGTTCGCAGTCAGACAGCCTATATATATATATATATATATATATATATCTTCATGGATAATCCCCATCCATGCATTAATGACAAAAACATGTAGATCAGCAAAGAGTCTCTTTTCGGTGGGGAATTCATCTTCTTACCCGTACAATCGCAAATAGTATACATGTGTTATTTTGTATGCATGTGTGCATTAAATTTGTCAAGCAAAATTACAATTGGTTGTGGTTATTTTAACTAAACAGGTAAAGATTGGTAATACAAGTCAAGAAATTTAGGTGTTCATGTAATTAGGGTGGTAACAAAGGTGATGAGTTGTTACAAACAGTTGTTAAAAGAAGTTATGTAATAATATGAATAGTTTGATGAGTGGGCTTTACTCAAGATGCAAAGGGGAATTAGTAAGTTCCAGGGAGAGTTAAGTAATACAAAAACCGTCAATAAAATTGGGTGTTTCAGTGAAACTGGGCTAGCAACAAAGGTGATGAGTTGTCACAAACAGTTGTTAAAAGAAGTTACGTAATATAATATGTATAGTTTGGTGATTGAGTTGTACTCGGTCAGGATACACATGGAAAAAAGTAGAGAATACGAAATTATGTAAGAGTTCTAAATGAATATCCAAGAATTCTAAGCAATTAAAGAACAGGCAAAGAAACAAAATTAAATCATCAAAACCACTTCTACTGTCATGTTGACAAGTTTGTTGATTTTGTTGACTTCATTTTGTTCCTTTACCTGTTCTTTTATTGCTCATAATTCTTGGATATTCATTTAGAACTCTTACGTAATTTCGTATTCTCTACTTTGTTCCTATGTGTATCCTGACCGAGTACAACTCAATCACCAAACTATACATATTATATTACGTAACTTCTTTTAACAACTGTTTGTGACAACTCATCACCTTTGTTGCTAGCCCAGTTTCACTGAAACACCCAATTTTATTGACGTTTTTTGTATTACTTAACTCTCCCTGGAACTTACTAATTCCCCCTCCCCCTTTAGTTAAAATAACCTTAATGTACATATGCTTACAAAATAACCCATATGCATATTTGCGATTGTAAAGGTAAGAAAATGAATTCCCCACCGGAAAAAGACTCTCCACTGAAAACTGGGTGTTTTGTTTTCATTAATGCCTGGATGGCGATTATTCATGAATTTATAAAATTGTCATAATTATAGTAATACTAATAGCCAGAGGTATTTATTGCTGTGAAGATGGTGACTACCAGTGGAATCTTGTTTGAGGTTCATCGGCTGGGTGTGTCTGCAATTCCCAGCCCCGGTGGGTTATAGTGTTCCCCTTGTGAGACTTGAATCGTGGACTCACCACTTCAAACGCCAGCCAAAATCTTTATCCATTCGGCCACTTGGGTCTCACCCGGGGAATGGTTTGTGCATCGATGGCACAAAGGTGGGATGTTAGGTTCAATCCCTGGCCACTGGACGTACTCTTTTACCTCGCTGAGTCAGTAATAAGTTTGGTAAAGATGGGAGGTTGAGTATGCGGCGGCTAGTAATCTCATCCCGTAAAAATAATCACCACTACCACCGAAACTTCAGACCTCTAGCTTGAAGGTGCCCTATGTTCCACCACTGGGAACGTGAAGGAATTAAAAAGATAGTCAGAGTGAGAATCATAAAATTTTAATGTAAGTTCGCCTGAAAGGTTTTTAAAGATCCATTCACGGTAACAAGAAAAAGAATCACCTTCTTCAAGTTGTGGAGTTTAAGAAACACAAGTTCCTAATTATTCATAAATATAAATAAATAATAGTATTTTAATGGAAAAAACGTAATAATAAAGCTTTGAAAATAAGACGGGTAGCTTAGCGAAGATTCTCTTTCTGGTGGCGAATTCATTCACTTAGTTGAACAATCCCAATTATGTATAGCTAATACTGTATGTGTGTGTGTGTGTACATTAGCTCTGTCAGACGAGCATAAAAATTAGTTAGGGTTTTTGTTTACGTCATTAGAATGTTTCAGAAGTTGTGATGAGTAGTCGAATTGTAACTAGGTTGGTGGTGGGGTAAAAATTAGTACGGGGGTGGTGGTGATGAGTTAGTTGTAAGTGCATAAGAGAAGTTGAATAAGTGCCTTGTAGTTACGTAATATGGTCAATAATTTAATAAGTGAGTCTTGATTAGGATGTATGGAATAACGTAAGAGATGTACAGAAATACAATAGTGGTAAGGCGTGACCACTAGGGTGCAGCAGGAGGTTGGAGATGAGGCGGTAACTCATCATCGAAGAGGACATTGCGAAGTGGTTGTGCTATGCCACGAATTTGTTTCAATTCCCCTACAGGATATTATTATTATTGTATCCTTCAGTTCCTGGAGGAACATAGGGCTTCAGCTGCGCACCTCCATTGCCTTCTGTTTTCCGACAACTTTTTCACCCCGCTCCAGGTCTGTCCACATGCTTTCATCTCCTCCTCACATGACCTCCTCCAAGTCACCCTTGGACGACCAACTCACTGCCTCCCTTTCGGGTTCCACTCGAGGGCTTGTCTAGTGATGTCACTTGATGGTTTCCTCAGCGTATGGCCAATCCATCTCCATTTCTTCCTGCCTATTTGTTTCACAATCGGTTCCTTCTGGGTTGGCTCGCTCATTGCCAGAGATCCCTGTTTCTGATCTTTTCTGGCCATCTGATCTTGAGCGGAGTATTGAGCGAAGACAGCTGTTAATGAAGGTCTGAAGTTTGTTTGAGATGCTCTTTATGACTCGCTAAGTCTCTGATCCGTATAGTAGCACTGACTTTACATTGGAGTTGAAAATCCGGATCTTATTTTTGATTCTGAGTGCTGTTGACCTCCACACAGATTTGAGAGTAATGAAAGCTTGTCTTTTTTTTCCGATTCTGGCTTTGATATCCTCGTCAGTTCCGCCCGCCTCTAGTTGAGACGATGCTTCCTAGGTAGGTGAAGGAGGCTGTTTTTTCAGGTTCCTCCCATTTATGCTGATTGTTGTATAGGATATAATATGTTAAAAATAACCATATATATATACGGTGGTACAGATTGATAAAAAATCTGTTGAAAAGCGTCTCTTTTGGCTGTATCACCTGTTTTGATTTTCAAATATAATCCGTGGACAGGTAGTCGAAATTTTTGCTTAACAAAAGCCGAAAATCAAGATTTAAACTAACAGAAAAAAAAGAAAGCGGTGGGTGGAGGCAGGGGATAACACTTACCCTTTATAATTTTGTAATCGTATAGCATTTTGTTTTAATTGCATAGCATGTTTTAATTTGTCTAAATAGGTGACACTATCAGCGGTATGATATTGTCTAGATAGAAATAGCATAGTATTCACATCTTCTGTTTCCGGGTCAACTTTATTACTCTATATAAGTATATAAAGATAAGCAAAGATGTGAGCGACTTTCAAGAGAGCCAGGCAGAGAGAAAAACGTAATTCCATGTTAGTTTGTTTATAAAATATATCACACAATCAGCGCAACGGTATTATTTACTGGATGACAAGGTTTCGAACAAAACTTATTACCGTTCATAATCATGCCATCAGTTATAACCAAACAAATTCGAAACTTTCGTTTTATAGTTTTCTTTGTTCTCTCCTATTCGTCGTCGTCGTAGGGATAGTAGAATTTTCTAGATATCTGGGTAGACAGATATTGAATCATTCTTATTACACGTAATCTCCCCAGTTGATTCGATAAACAAAGCTTCCGTTATCAGTCTCTCCCTCTGCCCTGTTACACTGAATTTTAAAACTGTCACCTTATCCCATCCTCCCATTGTATGGTTGGTAGTGTGTAATTGCATGTAGTGAGTGGTACAGCTGAACTATTCTCTAGATTTCTTATCTTATTATTTGGTTCGACCAATCTAGATTTTGCTAGGCTTTTATGCTGGGCTAGTCTGACTGCCCCTGTTCTACTACTTTGACCTATGTATTTAACCTGACAGTCATTCCGGCAGGGTATTAGACAAGCTAAATTGTTTTTTTGTTTTAAAGGCTCCACAGGATTCTACGACCCCTACGATGATAAACTGGAGAGAACAAAGGAAACTATAAAACTCAAGTTTCGATGTCGTGTGATTATAATTGATGAAATGATTATGAACAGTAATAAACTGTGTTCGAAACGTCATCCAGTAAATAATACTGTTTCTTCACACAGCCTTGAGATTTAATATCATGAAAATTATTATAACTTTCAGTGACCTTCGTTACTCTGTGGAATTAAGTAAATAATAATTGTATCTATGTAAACTTATGTATATAGTTGTGATTGTACAGCTGCCTATGAGAATGTGATCGCTGAAAAGATATCAGTTTTCTCAACTTCTTGTTCTTTTCTCTCTAATTTCCTGATGGGTAACTTCCACGATTTGACTAATGAATATTGGATGGATGACATCGCATGATAGACAATCCCTCAGTGCGAGTGGGTATCTATGGTTGTCGTCTGGGTGACTAGAGTAAATTATTGACTTTCAAATGGCTTGTCATCCCGTAGAATGGAAGTAGAAAGGGGACATGTATCTGAGGGTGACATGGTAGAGATCTTGAGGTGAGGGGGAGATGAAGTCTTGTGGTTATTCGGGGAGCTTGTTAAGAAACAACTTTGCAGAAAAGACTTAAGGGATAATGAGCTGCTGAAACACAATGTTTCACTAGGAAACTGATAAGTCAATAGTTTTCGGTGTAGTGGTGTTCTCCAAACTGTATGGCTTAGTTGGAAAGCTGACTTTCATTGTCTAACTCTTGACAACATCCTCAACGCATACTTCGATCAATTTGAAGTAAACTTCTGGAATTCTCCACCAGTTTATCAGTCATCTCTCCTCGTAACGTTAAAGGTGATTGTATTGTTATTGATTATTTTGTTGACCTGAGAGTTAACCTTTGATTCATGTGATTCCCATTCCATGGATTAGTAAATCTTACCTACATCAATGTGTCTGCTGATTGCCGATTCACCTGAAAACTAGGCTTCTAGAAATTTTCTGGTGTTTCCTCTGTCTCAGATTTGAATATTTTCCCCGTCTACTTGGTGTCTGTGGTGTTGTGTACATATACATGATATGGGGGAATGGATACCATGTCTTTTGACCACCGGTTCACCTTCGTGGGTGCTAAGAGTAAGAGGGTGTTGTCCACTCTGACCAATGTAATGTTTTTCAAAGTCGTTGCAGTTTATCTTGTAGATGTTGTTGGTTTTGTTTTCCTGGTTGATATAGAGCCAGCGGAGTGAAGTGATTTTGTTGGTTTTATAGGTGACATGAATTACGAAAGCTTTGACTAGTGTTGTAGTGACTTCGGAGGTGTTCTTTGTGTTTCGATTGAAGACTTTCGACTTGTTTTATTCAGCTGAGGGTAGATGTCTCTTGACGATCAATGCAGGACTTATCACAGAAGACGGGTGCATCACTTCAACTTGTGAGCCGCCGAAAAGTTATGCAGAAATAAGGGAACAGACACAGAATAAACTATACTGTGAAAGAAAACATGAGTGCAACAAACAGAAACTTTTCGTGATCTGAAAAATAATTTTTAAGTAGAAAATTGAATACATCTGCAACATTGTGAATGATTTCCAACAACGGTGTATCTAGTTAGACAATCTATCCCTCCCCACGCGACTCAGCCTATAAGACGACATTAATTTCATCAATTGATATCATGCATTAGTTTCACTATCTTTATGAATAATTTTTTATTGATTCTTTGATAATTATGTCAATGCAAATATATTCTGGTTATTTTTTACCCTACCTCTATTGATTATGAAATTCCATCAACAACTCCATTATGGGTAAAATGTATTTTGATAAAGTCTCACACTGTGTGATTATACAGTAATATTTACTGATAACTACGCTTCGAGAACAATTTATTGCCAGTAATTATAATATTAAGGTACTCACAAAACTTTCTAACTTTGTGTATATAATTCCATTATTTCCCATCTTTTGATTTGATTGGTAGTAATAATTTCCATATTTCCAGTAAGAGTGATGAATCGTTCCTATTGCATGTGTTGGGTGTAGATTTGACGGACCAGGATTCAGTAATCAACCTCTCTCTTCACCTACCTATATTACTTTTCAGAATTTTGAGTCTGTCCCACACCCTGTTGAGTGGTTGTGTGTTATGTTCTGACGATCTGACTACCCGCGATCTACTAGTTTTACCTATGTAGTTGACCTCACTCACAATCATTGCAAGATATTTTGGGTCAACCTACAGAGCTTGTCCTACCTGAGTAAGTTTGTAGGTTTAAATGCCACTCTAATTTATGCTTTATTGAGAATCCTACGTAGGGAGGGTTTCAGATGTCCCCTCCTTATATGGTATAACAACTGTAGATGTCTTATATTCTGTCTTATTTATGTTATCATTATTAGCTTCATTATTATTTTTATTTTGTTTTTGACCTTTTGTGATCTTCCTAATGAATTTTATAGGATAATAATTTATTTAACACCAATGCTTCTTCTATCTGTTTAACTTCATCATTTAGGTTTTTTCTTGTACTACTTAGTGCTACTACTCGGTTTGTTAGACACTCAACTGAGCCTGCCTTCATAGACTGATAACGGATGTCTGTCTGTCTGTTTTCGACATAGAACTTTGCACAAATGTGCGGAAGTTCAAGTCGCCACACTCCGTGTAGCACGCGAAGCAAGAGAAGAAAGTACAAGAAAAGCATAATAGAAACAGTGAACAGAGGTGTGAGACAAAAGAAGAGTAATAACGAAGAACAAAACAGTTTCATTGGAGATCATAAGTCACAAGGAGTGGATGCATCTGCGCCACTGAGAACGATCACTTTGAGCCATGTCACCAATTGTTTCCAACCATAGATTTTTACCGTCCCGAGGACCCCAGCCTGGAAGTCTACACCTTTCTACGTGACTGGCTTAGACCAACTGTTGTGGATTTCATTGACTGGTGAAGCCAAGATTTGTTTGACCGCCGCTAGCTTTTTTCCAGCCTGACCCTATATCCGCTAACATTGCTCGTCGAGGGAGGCGATGACTAGGCATACGTAACACACGTCCTAACCATCTCAGTCTTTGTAACTTCACGACTTCGTCGATTGATTTCCCTGTTTACCTAGAACTCTACGCCTAACCTCAATGTTGCTCACCTTATTATACCACTTCACACGGGAGATAGAGCGCAGGCACCCATGATTAAAGACAGCTAGCCAGGCTTCTCATGTCTTCCAGTCTCAATGACCAGGTCTCACAGTCAGCCATAAAGGAGAATGGAGCGGAGTGATGAGCAGTACACACGCCCTTTGGTCGATAGCCGGATATCACGTCTACTAAGAGAGACAGCGTAAACTGGCAAATGCGAAACGAGCCCCCTGTATTCGTGCTGAGATTTCGTCAGACAATTGAATGTAGAGAGTATTCACTCGACACCCACAATGATCAAAAGTGTTGATCAAATTGATTTTAAAGTAATATGGATTCGTTTTGCTTTCTGCATATAAACCAGTGGTAACCACTCTCTCTCTCTCTCTTGTATATATATATTAGATTAAAGTTATATATGTTATGCATATAAACACATTTGTACAACAGTTAATTGAATAGTCAGACAGCATAGTTTAAGAGTAGGCGAGGTGTATTACTGAATAGACAACTTGCGTAGTTTTGTATGACACCATATGACAATAGTTTGAATAATAATAATAAGAATAATAATGAGAGTACCACTTATCTCTCTCTCTCTCTCTCTCTCGCTATCTATCTATCTATCTCACTTACACTCACACTCTCACTCACTCATTATTCCCCCCCGCCTCACCCATACCGATCTTTCTTTCTCTCTCTCTTTCTTTGTTTCTTTCTGCGTTGAAAAAAACGGTAAAGATATAAGACAATGTTCTTTTATGTTGAAATGTCTGTAATATTATTATTACTATTACTAATACTAATACTACTATAAATGACGGTAATAATGTTATTATTATTATTATTATTACCACTTCACTTCCTATTTCTAAACTAGGCGTCGATGTAGTCCAGTCCTGTAACATCATCTTGCATTTGGCGGGAGCGAATCGCATGCCAAACATTCGTAGATTGCGGCTCAAGGTGTTTAGAAGACTCTGCATTTCGTCAGCGTCTTCGCCTAGAAGGACTATATCGTCTGCATATTCCAAGTCAACGAGATTATTCCCTGGTAGCAAGTCAATCCCTGAGTCGCTGAAGTCACCTAGGGTTAAGTCCATTAACACATCTATGATGAAGTTGAATAGAAAAGGGGATAATGGGCATCCTTGACGGACACCACTGGTCGTCATCAGTTCAGATGACAGCTCGCCGTAAGCCCTCACCTGGCTGTATGAGTACGAGTAGAGTGCCTTAATCAGTGCAATATATTTTCTCGGAATTCCCTTTACAGCCAAGCATCTCCAGAGAACTTCCCGATCGACAGAGTCGAATGCTGCCTTTAGGTCAAGAAATATAATGACTGTTGGACGCCGGTAGGAATGCCTATGTTCTAGAATCTGTCGGAGGGTGAAGATATGATCAATACACCCTCTTCCTGGTCTAAAGCCTGCCTGGCTCTCTCGTGTTTGTGCTTCCCGAGCACCACTCAGTCTACGCATGATTATTGAGCCTAAGACTTTAGATACTATATTAGTCAAGCTAATCCCTCTGTGATTATCACAGGAAGACTTGTCTCCCTTCTTGTATATGGGGATAATCAGTGACTTACACCAACCCGATGGGACTTCTTCTGATTCCCAGACGCTGCCTAGTACCTCAGTTAATCCGGACAGTAAGCTGTCTCCACCGTACTTAAATACCTCTGGAGTCATTCCATCAGGTCCCGCTGCTTTGCCTAGTTTCAGATTGGTGACAGCTTTAGTAACCTCAGTTAGTGACGGAGGACCTGTGTCTATATCCCATTCAGGGAGGTGTTGGATGCTCGGAAGGTTGAGCGTGGCTGTGGGCAAATTAAACTGCTCCTCATAATGCTCTTTCCAACGATCCAGTCGTCTATCCTGGAGCTAATTATAGTGCCATTTTTTTCCGAGATTGTCTCACTAATGATTTGTCTTCTCCCACCCGTTTCCCTGATGAGTCCAAAGAGTTGCCTGGTGTTGCCTATCCTCGAAGCTTTCTCCATCTCTTTGGCTTTTGTCGCCCACCACTGTTCACGGTCCTTGCGGAGACTTTTCGTAAGTTTCCTCTTGTGCAGCTTTCGCTCCTCATTGAATTCGGAGCTCGCCGGAATAAGTCTTCTAGCATCTATCAGTTCGGATGAGGCGGTGGAGATCCAGTGGTTTTTACTCACCTTTGGGTTTACCTTATTCACAGCTTTTACAGCTGTATCTATGGCTGCCTGGATATTTTTCCAAGCTTCTTCAGGGTGAGCACAGCTGTCGAACACAGATATGTGTTTAGCTAGTTCTTCCTCAAATACGGATTTAGTTTCCTGATCGAGCTGGGGACGTGATGGTTTTACCGCCAGCTGTTTCCTACGTCCGTTCAGTCGTAAGCACACCCGAGCGCGGACCAGTGCATGGTCGGTATCTACGCACGTGTTCCAGAAGGAGCGACAATCTCCTACCGACCCACGCCAACGATAGCTTATTGCTATGTGGTCTATTTGTGTCCAGCGTTGGTTTGATGAAGGGGGTCTCCAAGTCAAACAGTGTCTCTCCTTGTGTTTGAAGTTAGTGCTTACAAGAAACAAATGATTATCAGAGCAGAACTGTAGGAGACGGTCACCGTTGTCGGTTCGCTGGCACGGAACTCCATAGGTGCCACCGACATCCTTCTCAGATTGACACAATTTCCCTACTTGAGCGTTAAAGTCACCAGCTAGAACGACTATGTCTGAGCGTTTAGCCTTTCCACCAAACTAGACAGCTTTTGGTAGAACTCATCCTTCGTTTCATCTGAACTGCAGTCAGTGGGGGCGTAGGCGGAGATTACGAAAAGGCATCGGCGAGTAGTGCAGTCCTTCCTCCTTCTTACTGATCCGTTCAGGCGGACAGCACACATTCGGCTATCTACCGGGATCCAGTCAAGCAATGTCTTTTCTGCCCTAGTACTCAAAGCTATCCCTACGCCAGCTAATCCTCGTGAACTAGCTGTGGCATCTCCTGACACCCTCAAGGTGAATTTTGCAGATTCAACCTGTTGGCCAGGTGGGGTTAGGTGAATAACCACACTTGGGTCTTGTATGCGTGTTTCTGAAACACAGCATACATCAATGGCTCGTGATGCCAGGGTCTTGGCTAGTGATGCTTGTTGTCCTATTTGGCAAAGTGTCCTAACATTAAGAGCTCCTATATGAAATTGGTGGCGCGGCTTTAAGAGGCTGTCGGTGGTGGTTTTTTGGCTTCCATCGTTTTTAGTGGACGCAGAGTGGAGAGGAAGTGGAGAGCTATCAAGTCGAGGAGTTGCATCAGTGGAAGGAAGGCAAGATGATAGAGATGAAGATGAAGACAAAGATGAGTGAGTAATAGAGAGGTTTCGTGTGCATTTCGGATTGTGAGGGCGATTGTTACTTCCCGGCTGCCCACACCGTGGAAGTTGGTTGCGTGACCGCAGAGCCCAGGGGACAACTGCTTGAGGCCGGTCACACGCGGCCTGTTTTTGTTCGTTCTCTTTTGTTTGGTGTGTCTCAGTAGCATATTTATCACTCCTGCCCTGTGACACGGCAGCAGGAAGCGCGGTCGTTGTTAATCCGGGCCACGGCCGATCCGGCATGAAATTTTGTAATTTTGTATTGGACATGATGTTGGATTGGGTAGCTGCTTTTTGTTTAACCGCTATCCAAACAACCTGCCTGGCATGGTAGAACCTCAAGAGACATAAGTCTCAGCCAGTATAGCTTGATTAGGTCATTGCGGTGTTCAAGCCCGACCACCACGTCAAGGTAGCAGCTTTCGGTCGGGTGGGACGGATTAAAGTCTAAATATCTATTAACAGAATATGCTGGCAATGAAGTGATCAATCAAGAGACAACTGATCAACAAATACGCAGAAGTAAATGGAGATTCACTGATCGGTCATACACGACTGAGGATGTATGCTCAGACGTCGAAGCACAAAAGCTTTACAATGTCTTATTTGGCAGGCATACATTTCATGTGATGATGAAAGTGTAAGACAGGAAATAACCAACTTACCGAGGAACTGTTATTATTAAACGGTTGAAGGCAATCAACAGGAAGCCTTCCACCTAGGTTTCGTGCTAGTAGGCACTCACTAGTGATCAAGGCAGGCGTATCTGCAACTACCTTGAAGGAATTCATGTCCATTCTGAAATTTGAATGCGTATCATCCAGTGTTACAGTCTGTCAGAGACGTTGTCATTGAACTATTCAGGCTCGCGACCGACCTCCTGTATATGACACTGGGGGACACTGATTCGAATCTCAGAACGAAGTTGAACTCCTTCAAGGCAGTTGCAGATACGCCTGTCTTGCCAACTCGTAGGTGCATGCCAACTAGCAGGAAACCTAAGTGGTCCACAGCTTCCTGCCAATTGCTTCCAACCATCTAATAACATCAGTCCTGAGTGTACTGTGACGGTGAATCACCCAGTGGCATGGCGGCCACATTTCAAACTTGACTGATAGAATTCAGTCTGCACTAAACAAAGGACAAGTCCCATGACGCCAGTTAGTGTCCAATCAAAAGTTACTGAGGAACTCTAAGTAAACGGCATTGTTCATTTTGTTCTCATTGTTACATTGTTTTCAATATTTTCACTTGGTTTAAATATATATTTATTTTTTAATGAACAAATATTATTAATGTATATACCCTGTTTGATTTATTACCCTTGGAATGAGACAATCAAATGCAATATTGTATTTTTACATGCTGAAAATTCCATATTTTTAACAAAACTACTGTCTAGAGTAAAGTAGTATAAGCCATAACACAGAAAAAGTTATTCTTAATGAGAAAAAAATACCTACTTCTAAGCCTGTAAATGTAACAAATTTTTTCAATCGTTCTCTCCAATTCCCTTTGCTTTGATTTTCTTTACTCAAAGCGGATAAATACTCCTCTGAGAAACTTCTTTCCGTGCTTAACACATTTATATTTTCTGATAGCAAAGTTTCACTTGAAAATGCACGACTGCTTTGTTTTTTAAATGTTATCATTACATCATTTGATTGTTTAACAGTAGGTGGCTGTTGGTAGTCATTTGTTGAACCCCATGATTTGAAAGTTGATTTTCTTTCTATCTTTTTTGGGACAGATTTTAAATCTTCTGGAGATATTTTTTTCCCAGTGAGTAATCGATGTATATTTAGCATACTTTTAGTAAGTATTGGTTGATAATGAAAATGCGGATGATATGGTTTGCGTTTATCTAAACTCATTGTTGATGAGTAGACTTCAGATGGTATACCACCTAGTTAACACACAGAGACATGGAGAAAGAAAGGGAAGAAAGAATGTATTTAATTCATGAAAACCTAATGCAAAAATTAGCGCGGTATTATACTCCTGTCTATCTCAAGCAAAATACTAAGTTGCATCATCCCGGAGAGAATCAAACACGCCGCCTTAGGTGAAAAACTTCTACGGGAACAGACTAGATTCAGGAGAAACAAGTCATCTAGCAAACAAATCGCAACAGGATGTATCATCCATCATTGAGCAGAGCTTTGAATGGCATTCACACCTGTCTCTACCTCAGCTTCATTGACTTTGCAAAAGGTGTTCGATAACACAACGTCGATCGAGAGGTGATTTTGGAGACTGCTTCGCTACTACCAAGGAGTGCCGTCAACAATTATCCACCTCATCCAACAGTTGTACGATAATGTTGCATGCCAAGTAATCCACAACGAGAAAACTCATGGAATCCTTCGAAGTTAAGACGGAAGTAAGACAAGGCTGGCTGGCTGCCTACTATCTCCAATGATTTTCCTGATTGCGGTAGATTGCATAATGCGACAGACAGCGGGCAATGAGGAAACAAGCATAAAATGGACCCACCCAAAAAATTTGCAGGATCTGAACTTCGCTGATGATATGTGTTTGATTTCCCATAAACTAGCAGATATGCAAGTGAAAAGCAACAAGTTGGAAGAAGAAGCATCCAGAGAAGATTGGACTTCAGGTAAACAAAGCGAAGGTGGAGACAGAGGTGATAAAGATTCCTGGCCAACAGCAACAACAACAACAACAGACAACAATCAGCCAGCATAAATGCGAGAAATTTGAAAGAAGCAACCTACTTTACTTATCTAACTGGGAAGCATCGTTTCAACTATAGGCTGATGGAATTAATGAGGATATCAAAACGAGGATCGGGAAAGCAAGACAAGCTTCCATTACTCTCAAGTCTGTGTGGAGGTCAACAGCACTAATCAGCATGAAAAACAAGATCCGGATTTTCAAGTCCAATGTAAAGTGAGTGCTACTCACCATATGGATCAGAGACTTGGTGTAGCGTCACAGAGTGCACTTCGAACAAACTACAGACCTTCATCAGTATCTGTCTTCACTCAATACTCAAAATCAGATGGTCAGAAAAGATCAACAATAGGGACTTTTGGCACTGAACGAACCGACCCAGCGAAAACCGATTGTATAACAAATAAGCTCGAAGAAATGGATGTGGATTGGCCATACTCTGAGAAAACAACTTATCAAGTGACATCACACCCCAGGCCATTGCTCGGGTAGAACCCGAAGGGGAAGTGGTGAGTTGGTCGTCAGTGTGAGGATGACATAGAGGAGAAGGAGGTCATGCGTACAGGAAATAAAAGCATGTGAGTAGGATGTGGAGCCAGGTGAAAACGTTGTCAGGGAACTGAACGCAATAGAGACGTGCGGATGAAGCTCTATGTTTCTCTAGAAATTAAAGGAAACAATACTAATAATAACCTAAATACTCCACATTGATTTGTTGATTAGATATATCTCACAGTCACCAAAACAGTGTTATTAATCACTGGATGACAAAGTTTTTTCGAACGCAATTTATTTATTGCTCATAATCATATCACCAATTATAACCAAACAATTTCGAAACTTGAGTTTTATAGTTTTCTATATTCCTTCTACTATACGGATCAAAGACTTGGAGAGTCATAAAGAGCATCTCAGACAAACTTCAGACCTTCATCAACAGCTGTCTTCGCTCAATACTCCGCTCAAGATCAGATGGCCAGAAAAGATCAGAAACAGGGATCTCTGGCAATGAGCGAGCCAACCCAGAAGGAACCGATTGTGAAACAAATAGGCAGGAAGAAATGCAGTTGGTGGATTGGCCATACGCTGAGGAAACAAACCATCAAGTGACATCACTAGACAAGCCATTGCTCGAGTGGAACCCGAAAGGGAGGCGGCGAGTTGGTCGTCAGTGCAAGGGTGACTTGGAGGAGGTCATGTGAGGAGGAGATGAAAGCATGTGGACAGACTTGGAGCGGGGTGAAAAAGTTGTCAGAAAACAGAAGGCAATGGAGGTGCGCAGCTGAAGCCCTATGTTCCTCCAGGAACTAAAGGATACAATAATAATAATATAATATTCCTTCCTATTTGTCGTCGTAGGGGTAGTAGAATTTCCCAGGTGTCTGGGTGAACAGATGGTGAATCATTACTGTTACACGTGTTCTTTTCAGTTGATTCGTAAATGAAGCTCTCGTTATCAATCTTTCCTTCCACCCCGTTATATTAGATTACATCATAGAACTGTCATATTATCCCATCATCCTATTGTATGGTTGGGTCTGTGCAATTGCATGTATTGAGTGCTATAGCTGATCTAACTATCCTCAAGATTTCTTATCTTATTCGAGTCAACTAATCTAGATTTTGCTGCTAGGCGTTTGTCCTCCTTTAGTTTGACTGATTGACTGACCCTATTATACTAGTTTGACCTATGTATTTGACCTGACAATCATTCCAGCAGGGTATTAGATAAACTAAATTGTTTTGTTTAATTGGCTCCACAGGATTGATTGATCCTTTAACCGACAAAGCTTGTTTCTATATCAGTTTATGGGGTGGGGTTTAATGCCAGCCACTTTTATTCTTCCCTGGACTGTTAAGAATTCTCCGCGACAAGGTCTTTGAGGTTCCTTCTTTTGTATAGAAGTACTACTGATGATGATTTAAATTCCCTATTGTTGGCTTTGTCATTTATCCTGTACATGTTTGACATGCATGTCATCACTATTATTATTATCATCACTATCACTGCCATCATTATTAATAATTTTATTTTTACATTTTCTTACATACTGTCTGATTAATTTATCTGGGTAATTATTAAGTTTCAAAGCTTCTCTTAATATGCCTCACTTCCTGTCTTAGATTTTCCCTGGTACTACTACTAAGCAAGAACAACAGTTTTTGCAGAATAAAGTGGCACCGAGCAACGGTTACCCTCAAAGGTATATTAACAAGTACGAAAGATCTGAAGGCTAACATGTCAGGCAAATCACAGTGAGAAAAAAACCTACCCTCATTCAAATCGATTTTAAAGGTGAAAACATTATAGTAATTGTCAACAGAAGCCTATCCTACAACCAAACTGGTTCCCGTCTATCGAACAACTTACTCTTTGGTGCAGTCAAATAAAGGTCGACAGATACTCTTCTCATGTTAAAAAAAAACTCCAACTTTTATACAAACTTACGTGTATCTGCGGGAGCAGTTACATTGGGAGAACAGAAAGAAGGGCATACCTCTGATTTTCTGAACATGTACGCAAAAGCCTACGTCTCAAGGGGAAAAACGCTGTGATCAGTGCCCTTCCCAGATATCTCGTTGATACGGGTCGGGTCATTTAAAATTATCAATAGACAAAAGAGCTAATTTCTACTTAAGTCTGCTGAGTCCCGATTTATGTGTTCAGAAAGAGGCAGTTGTCGGTCTTTCCTTCCCCACCTGGTTACCGGATGTTTCCATCATCTTTTTCGTCTGATCACATAAATGCTAATGTTTTCCATTGTGTATTATTATTAGGATTGTATGCATATGCTGATTTTTGTTCAGAAATGGACTCTGTATTTCTGTAAATATAGTTAATAATGACTTTGGGTTGTAAGTACCAGTTGATGAGTAGCCAATGAAATAAACAATGATGGTAGCATCTTATTATTCTGCACAAACCACCACTGTTATTGTTGTTCTTGCTTTATTCAAATTCATAAGGGGTGGGGTGGGGGGGAATAAATGTATGGAATCCTATTTTTACTGACATAGAACAGGATGATCTGAAATCCAAATATCTATTTTAAATGTGTGGATTTCCTGTAAACATTAGTGTTTAACTTCCTTTTAAGCAAAAAGGAATCATTTAGCATATGTTCACCCTCCTGGATATCTGGAGAATTCCACTACCCCTACAACGATGAATATGGAAAAGAATAAAGAAAAAAACTGTAAAACGATAGTTTCATAGTTGTCTGGTTATAAGTGACGATATGATCATGAACGATAAATAAATTGTCTTCAAGGAAACTTCGTCATCCAGTAAATAATAATAATACTTTAAAACAAGCAATGAAGGTTAATAAAGCAGGATCTAATGAATTCATCAAATTTCGGTATAACTCTTGCTCAGCTAAATACTCTGCACACGCCAATATATATACACTAGTGAAATTACATTCGGAGATATAAGACTGATAATTGAACGAAGAAACTACATTGAATTAGCCATGCAGAGAGACAGGTGCGAATGTTCAGATCAGGTCATGTTCAAATAGATAAGGGGAGAGAGAGAGTATGAGAGATCAAAATTAAGATAAATTGCATTACGCTTCAATTACATCACTTAGATAAACAATTAGTCATTAGGGAATATAACGAGAATTGCAAACAGACTAATATCAATAGTAATAGTTATAATAACAATAATAATAATGTTGAAGTGAGTTAAGATAATCCTACTGATAAAGGATAGTTTTAAATGAATCAGGAATAATAATAGTGATAATAATAATAACAATAATAATGAGAAGAAGAGGTAGAATAATAGTAATAACAAGTAGAGAATAATAAGTAAAACGTATTACCATGGTAGATTCCGAGTCACGACCATCTTTTTTTGTATACAGAGAGCTGGTTTATAAATTCGAATTGCACAAGCCTCTTCAATTGCAGTCATCTTCTGGAATCTTTGTCTGCTGATAATAGTGAATGACTTGATCGCGTCGATATCATGTCCGTAATCCACAAGATATTTTGTGTCAAAATCCTCAATAATAAAACATATTGTGGACTGCGGACATGATATCGACGCGGTCAGGTCATTCACTATTGTCAGCAGACAAAGAAACAAGAAGATGCTTGCAATTGTGGAGGAGGCTTGTGCAATTCGAGTTTAAAAACCAGGTCTCTGTGTACAAAATGAGATGGTCATCACTCTGAATCCACCATGGTTATACGTTTCACTTATTATTTTACCGTTTATTACTATTATTATTATTCTTGATTCATTTAAAACTATGCTTTATCAGTAAGATTATCTTAACTCACTTCAACACTATTATTATTATTGTTATTATAACTATTACTATTCATATTAGTCTGTTTGCAATTCTCGTTATATTCCCTAATGACTAATTCTTTATCTAAGTGATGTAATTGAAGCGTAATGCAATTTATCTTAATTTTGATCTCTCATACTCTCTCTCTCTCCCCTTTTATATTTGAACATGACCTGATCTGAACATTCGCACCTGTCTTTCTGAATGGCTAATTCAATGTAGTTTCTTCTCTCACTTATCAGTCTTATATCTCCCAATGTTATTTCACTAGTGTATATATATCCGCGTGTGCAGAGTATTTAGCTGAGGAAGAGTTCTACCGAAATTTGATGAATTCATTAAATCATCCTGCTTTATTAACCTTCATTGCTTGTTTTAAATTCGTATCGGGAAATAAATGTTTTCAATAATAATGCTATTTCACTCTCTGTGTTTGATATATCCATCTAATACACAAAATGAATATGGAATTACATCCTACCACAGTGCCCACATTATACACACACACACAAATGTGCATACAGTAACCCGGTAATTTTAATGTGTACATCTTACCACCACGCATTGTCTGCTGATTTTGTAAATATAATGGTTTCAAAGATGGATAAACTTTTGATAAATAATGATCCGCTTTATTTTTAGTTGTAGCTATTCCAGCATTATGTAGAGCTAAGGTGATCTTCGTAAAAGCTTCCAAGATGTCATCACGTCCAATAGGATCACGTAGTAGGAGATGGCGTGCAAATCTAAATAGTTAAATAATAATTTTAAGTAAATTCAAGAGAAATAAAAAAAAATTTAGTCTAGATTATTATCTGGAAAAAATGAATCAACAAAATAATTCGTATTCAAAGAGATTGATTGATTGATTGGTTTCAGAATTTCACCATAAACTGACATCCATCAGAGAAGCAGTGGAAAACCAACACTGGGGGTACTGAACAGCCAGCTGTTTGATCCTAGTGACTTAATAGTGTACAAGTTAACTAGCCTTATAACCATAAAGTCCTGAGTACGAAACCCGGTAGGTGCATCCTGTTGATGAAGAGTCCAAAACTAGGCTGGCGAAACAGCTGTCCAGTACTCGAGTGAGGATTTTCCAATGCTCCTCTAACCGATGTCAGCTTATGATGAAATCGGGAGAACAGTTAAAGATTTTTATAGAAAAATAGTTATGTGTTTTGATATGAACACTGTATCTCAATTCAGTTCAGTTTATTATAATTAAGTACTTCTTCTGTAGTAGTGATTGATGATATTGTAGTGACAGCTGTCTGCAATCCAAAATTGTAGACAACAATTTACTTCGATGTTTACGACCCGAATTGGGGTCATGAGAAGAAAACAATAACAAACCTTAACCTTGAGGAATTCATCAACCAATCACAGCAGACATAACGTGTGCAAATACGATTAGCAGATATATGGCTTAACTTTCTAAAGAAACGGTCAGAATTAACCTTCAGCGAGAAAACAACCAATCAGAAGACGTTGTTTCTCCTCTAAACATAACGCTAATAATAAGGTATATAAAAATTTATAAACATCGGTTTATTTTCTCAATAAACTATCTGCTGCCTGGACCTTGTCTTCTGGCGTTACAATATGACCGTCAATACAACCTAGTAGATTTGTTAGGACACAGTTCTAATCCCTATTCGTAACGACAACCACTACTACACGATAGTGCCGTCATGTGACACAAGAAGGAAGACAAACTATTGACGGCGAAGTTAAGGTATCACCTCCCTGGTGTCTGAACGCTCCAATGACATGGAACGCATACAAGTCTTGTCATTATTATAGAGCAAATATGAATGCCATTCACGAATTAAGGTATAAATGTCACATTTTTAAGTAATGTTTTATTAGCTCGTTAGGCTTAGGGTAACTAATTGGGCTTATGTTTGGCGTTGGTATTATTTATTTCACTTAGTCTTATTATTCACGTTTTCCCAGTAATTAGTAATCGATCCTCTTACTGAAGCCTATAATAATTCAACCTAAGGCTTCTGGGGAAAACTGCCAAAACAGAAGCAGAGGGATAAACAGATCACAAAGACAACAGCTCATCTTTAGTCACCTTGGTGAATACATGTACAGAAACTAGTCTAACCTAAAAAGCGATACTCCTCATTATAGTTGGGAGCTGCTTTTAAGTCATTTTGGAGAAAAATATCTTGTTTAATGTGTTTTAATCACTACGCTGTATATTTCTTTTATAAATTAAACGTCATTTGTATGTAGAAAGTACAGTATTTCTTCGTTGGTTGGCTGAAGGTCACTGGTGCGTTTTGCACTCCATGCACTGGGATACATTAACTTTGATCCACTGGCAAGACACTTTTAACTGTCTAGAATCAATCAATCGAAATAGTCTGACAGTAGCTATGCATACGTAGGTTTCAAATCATCTAGGGAGACACTGATTTGACTGAAACATTTAACAACCAATAGGGTTTAGCTGTCATATGATGGGGAACATAAACACTAGGATAGTGTGATTAATGGTGGTAGTTTTAGGCTTCGGGAAAATTAGAAAGGTATATATATATATATATATAATAGTAATTTCATCATCTTGTTTTTTCTGGTTTCGTTACGTTCAGATTGGATGGTAGGGCTTCATAGTTGAGCTTTGAACTTTCAATAATAGTAATGCTTTCATTTTAATTTACACTGATGTTATTGTTAGCCTCACAGGTAAACTTACCTCTTCGCCCAGCTTACTACTGGCTCGAGCAAGGTTTAAGATTGAGTCGGCTGGCCATCGACTCCTCGACGTGCCACTTCAGGTTATTATCTTACCAATAATCATACTTTGATGTATCCACACTAATGTAGTATAGAAACATGAAAAATATTTACCGCCACGTATTCTTCGCGTAACTCTGCTTATTTTATTGGTTCGCTAGCTTTCCAGCTGGTCCCAAGACAGGGTAAAGAGAGAGGGCTGGGCGTCGGGCTAGCGACAGTTCCTCAGAAAATCAACCAAGCTGGCACAGAAAATACAAATCACCAGAAAAATATTAAAAATCCAAAAATTTTAGATAACAGACTTATTCTTCTCTTGGGTCCGAGAGGCAAAATACCTCTGGTTGACTGAATGCCTTCGGGAAGCTAGTCAGCTGATGTATCATCCACCGATGAAAGCAAGAATAAGATTTTGGATGGGGGATCTCCGTACTATTTACGAAGCTGGGAGGACTACCCAGGTAGCCAAAGAAATGTTAAGATACAGCATAGTAGTTCTGGATATTTGCGAGAGTAGATGAAGTAGATATGAGCTGTCAAAATTGTCAACTGTTGAGTCAGTGATCTACTCTGGTCTGGTCACCCAGACGACAACTACGAGCACGCTGAAGGAGTGATTGGCTATCGTGATGTTATTAGTGGCAGCCAAAGCTCTAATTCAGTGGAACCATTATCATCCAGAATCATGACAACAAGATTCAACTCAAAAGGAAGGAGACTCTGGAAGACCTGGATTTCACAGATGATTTATGTTTAGTGTTATACACACAAAGATTTACAGGCAGGCAGGCGAGAACCAACAAACTGGCTGAAGAAACAGATAGGCAGCAAAAACACTATTGACTCATAAACAGGAGACAGATTCGGAAGAGGTCACTTCCTGCCTTCATTTATCTAGTCAGCTAAGAAGCCAGCACGGTTCCGACTACAGACAGGCATTCGGAGAGCACGAATGAAGATGTCAAAGTCAGTCAGCCAGCCAGCTAGAATCGGAAAGGCAAGATTGCAATGTCTTCATTAACCCAAAACCAGTTTGCAAATCTTCTGTCTCACTCACTCAGCCACCATGAAGAAAAAGATTCGGATTCTGTTCAACACAAATCTGAAGTCAGTCAGTTCTTCCATACGAGTCAGAAACTTGGCGTGTTACGAAAAGCATTTCCAACAGCAGCTTACAGACTTTTATCAACAGCTGCCCAATTCGCTAGCTTCTATACTGAAGATAAAATGACTGGCTGGCCAGAAAGAATTAGCAACAAGAAACTCTAGGGATGAAAAACCAAACCGAGAGCTGATCAGTCAACAAATATATAGGATAAAATGCAGATGAATTGGGCATACGTTGAACGGCATCGCACTCAGTGCAGGCCATTACTCGAATGGAACCCAAACGGGAAGCGACGAATGGTTCGTCGATGCGGAGATAACATAGAATAGATTGTCTGTAAGACTGCCTTTTTTAAAGCACTAGAAACTCTTATAAACACCCCGGAGTCTATCCATTTAGTAACATTTCCTGCAGAAAGATAAAACTATGAATTGATCAAAGACTGAGAACTAGTCAAATCCCGGGAACAATGTCTTTGAACTTAAGGTTGACCATTTGTTTGACAACAAATAATGCCGACCAAATTCGATTCTTTTGATCCTGGTTATCAGTCACGTCTTAACTTATCTTCATTATGGTAGCGATTTTTCACAAAACTTACCTGTTGCAAAATTAATGATAAAGTGATAATGGCGAAAATACCTTACCTTCTATGAGCTACTCAGGGTACTTCAAAGAATTCTAATTACGCCTATATTCATAAGCAAAATACTACTGTTTTCTATTTATTTATTACAATTCTTAACGATTCACTTATCACCTTGGACTAAAACAACAGTTGAATGGGTCTTTAATGGGACTTCCTACTTTGCAACCGTACCAAAACAAACCTAAAATGTGTTCACGAGAACGTATAGCATTAATTTTCAATATCATTTGAGAAGAGTGCCTATAAAAAATTTAGGAGTTTTGCATTACACAACATTTCTTCTTGCATTTACTCGAAAGTGGATTTATTCACGGCTTATTCTTACCTTTCTAACTTAGGCACACATGAAGACCTTCTTCCCCATTCTTTTGTTCCCAGAATATCGTCAACACATGCACACATTTTCCAAATAACTTGCTGATTCAATGTTTGAAAAAGACTTGTCGGTTTGTTTTCTTGTTTCATCTGTAGCAGATGTAGAAGTGGCTTCATAAGTGTTCCAATGATGATAATTGTGAACACTGTTAGAAAAGCTGATGTAGACCGTAGCATGTTAACATCTATTCCAACGTTATTCAGGCATTCTTGTGTGACAATCTCAGTTAAACCATGACTAATAGCTCCTCGCAAACCACAAAAACCTAACACAAATATAGTAGTTTTGGAAAGATTATTCTGAAGACTGTGAAGTTTATTAACAAATACCGACAGAATAAACACTATGATAAATCTCCATAAAATTGAAAGAAAAAGACTTATCAGTTTAAAGTTAGTATGCCACTCAAAGTCATGTACGACCAGCGTGTAACCCATAGTTAGAAATATAAGTGATTCTGAAATACTAGCAGTCATACGAGCAAAACGTTTAATCGTCATTCTAGATTTGGGCGTGATATTTTGAAAGGTGTAAGCCGATTGAATTAACCAAAACAGTAAGATGGAAAAGACTCCAGGCCAATGAAGAGAATAATTTAACAAGTATGTGAGGTAACTACCACTTATTACAACAAGAGGTTCAATTGCTGATGCATGTCCTGTAAACCTTGTAATTATGCAAGCGAAAACTCCAAATACGACACCAGTCATAGAAGCAATAACAATCTTTGCAGAGACAATGAAAATTCCAACCAATATTATCTCTAGTGTAGTTTCAGACACATGAATACTTGGGTGACAAATTACTTTGTAAACATAATCAAATACAGCTAAAGTTACGCCATCATTTATAACAGACTCTCCAACAAAAATAAAGTAAAGACTTGGGTGTACACGCATTTCGCCCAAAATTCCAAGCACTATTACTGAATCAACTGAGCTACCAAGACAAGAAAATAAGAAGTAACCGAGAGTGGTTATCTGAAGTCCTTCTGACTTAAATACCCCAAAGTAGTCATCAACAAAAACTAAGCTCACTCCAATAAGAGCGAAATTCAGCAAAGTTCCTAGAAATCCAAATAAAAGAATAGCTGTAATGTGTTGTAGAAAGTAAGATTTGTGCATATGTAAGACAGCCTCAAATATTATGGGTGGAAGAAGTAAAACGAAAAAGGTCATTTCATCGAAGTACGTTAGCTCTAAATTGAATTCGTTTGCCATCTTACCAAAGAGTAAACCTATAGCGAAAACAGATATAGGCTCCAAAACATAGTTGATACCAAAATCTCTGAAGCTATATATAATCTTAATTATACAACAAGCAAGCACAAAAGCGACAGCAACCATAATGAAGTGAGTTTTTGTGAAATTTCCAGGATCAAACCAGTGCTCTGCAATGAGTTCTCCAATGCTATGTGATCCATTCTGTGATACTGGAGATGCCATCTTCAGTTAATTTACCGCTAAAGCTAAACTCGCGGAATCCAATATTCCAATATCCAATATCCTGATTACACGCTAGTATAAACCAGTGATTTCTTTGAGCTCACTTCTTGATTGTGAGGTAGAGGTTCCAGATCTTCGGTGAGCTTCTGCGTAGTAAGTCCCGCCACTCGACTGCTTTAGCTCTGGTAGACTCCAAGAGGAGTGGTGCGGGGATTGGTCATGATGTGGTTTGTAGTATGCAGTATGTTAGGACTGTATTGCTGCCGTGAATGGAGTTTGACCTAACTCCCGTTGGTCATTCGGTGTAGTCATAAGAGCAGAATAGTAATAATAATAATAGGTTGTAGTGTAGATAATATGGGTTGAGATAAGTGAAATAATAAAGGTGACCTAAAGAAAAGACAGAGTGAGAGAAGGCAGAATAGGTCGTGCGGATTTAGTTTGTATGCTTATCCACTGACAGTGTGGTTTTAAGTTTTATGAGGATAAGCCATTGAGACACAAACCTTGCATTTCTGCGTGATTGTCTAGCTTCCGCTTAAAAATCTCCACAGATGGCGCTGTAGTCACGGCCAGAGACGGCAAACTCGAAGCGAAAAGAAATGTGATCGCACTGGAGTCTTTGGTCTCTGGTGTGCTATCCTTAGCGGGTTACCTCGGGGAAGCCTATAATCACTTAATGGCAGGATGCTTTAATTTGGGTGGGCCTGGTCATTTAAGATCTGGTAGACGGTGATGAGGTCTCCCCTGTGCCTTCGGTAACTAAGTGTGAAAAGACCTAATTTCTTTAGTCTTTCCTCGTATGATTTGTTGCGGAGGCCGATCACCCATTTTGTCGCTCGTCTTTGGACACTTTCTAGAATGTTAGCATCCCTTTTGAGTAGCGGAGGTGCAATGATATTATGCACCTCAAGGTGTGGCCTCACATATGTCTTATATAACCTTAAGAACAGTTCGGGAGTAAGAGCTTCCAGCTGCCTATGCATAAAGTGTAAAGTTGCGTAGGCTTTGGTGACGTCCCTCGTGTGATTTCCACTGGTGTCTAGCTTTTCTGTTAGAATAAGACCTAGATCGCGCTCTGATGGAACACAACTCAAGTTCTGGTCACCGAGGGTTTAATTTACACTCTGTAACCTGCCGGAATGAAGTTGCACTACTTTGCACTTCTTTAGGTTGAAAGGCATTCCGTTAGCCAGAGCCCAGTTTCCCAGAGTTTGCAGGTCAGCCTGCAATCTATCTGAGTCTTCCGATGAGTTTATTGCTCTCCAAATCTTTACGTCGTCAGCGTAAAGAAGCGCAGAGCAGTTTAGTTGGGAGGGCAGGTCGTTGACAAAAATCAAAAACATCAACAGCCCTAGGATAGAACCCTGAGGAACCCCTGATGCCAAGTTGTGCCAGGATGATCGGATGCGGTTGACTTTGGTGCAGAATTCTCTCTCGCCTAAGTAATCTTTCAGCCATGCGAGAAGTGCTCCAGAAACACCCGCCTTGCTTGTTTTGTGAAGGAGCAGACCATGGTGAACTGTGTCGAATGCTTTCGCAAAGTCGAGAAAGATCACGTGGGCTGGTACCTTTTCGTCCCAGGATAGTGTCCAATCGTTCCAAGCTAGTAGAAGATTCGTCACGCAGGATCTTCCCCTCCTGAAACCGGACTGTGCTTCGTGGAGAGGGTTAGTCCCGTTATTAATAATAATAAATAGTATTATTGTTTCCTCTGTTTCCGAGTGGAACATAGGTCTTCAACACACATTTCCATTTTCTATTTTCCTTTGTCCTATTTAGCTGAGCACATGAATCCCTATAGCCTGTTATCTCTCCCTCGCATGATCTCCTCCATGCCACTCGAGGTCGACCCACTCGTTGTTTCTCGTTCAGGCTGCACTAGAAGTTTTGTCGCTTTACGTCATTCGACCGTCTCCTCAGTGTGTGCCCTGTCAATCCCTATTTTCCTCCATATATTCGTTGAACTATAGGTTCTTGGTTAGCTTCTTCTCGCACTCCTTTGTTGATGGTCCTTTCCTGTCATTAGACCTTCTCTATAGAGCAAAGGCAGCTGTTGATAAATGTCTGTGACCTTTTGGAAACGCTTTTCGCTATACTTCTATTTTCAGAACCGTATGGAGGAATCACTTCACATTTGTTCTGAAAATTCGAATCTTCTTCTTTATGCTGAGTACAGAAAGTTTCCAAACCGATTTCAGGTTGATGAAGGTGTATCTCGCCTTCCCGATTCAGGCTTCGAGATCTTCATCCGTCCAGTCCGCCTGTAGTTAAAGGGATCCTACCTAGGCGACGTGACCTCTTTCAAGTTTCTCCCATTGGTGGTGTCTGGGGCCGTTTGTCGTTGCTGTTAGTTGGTTACCTCCATCTTCTCTATTTTTATTTATTTTTGATTACAGCTTGATTCCACACTGTATTTTTGGTACATGTATGGAATTTTCAGCACGGATATCGGTTGCCCAAATTTGCAGGCCGATCATAGATATCAGGTGTGCGTTGGCAGGGGATCGAACCTCGGACAATGTGCATGGTCGGCGAGAGCACTAACCAATGTGCCACGTTCTTTTGGAGTCCTGTCTTCTCTCCACTACTTCTTCAAACACTGTTGATTTCCACCTGCAAATCCTCGAGATTGTGCGTGTGACGTCAAACATGAATTATCAATGCGCAAAATCCAGATTTTCTAGAATCTTTTTATCAGTCATTCCAGAGTATTCTTGTCTTCTTTCTCTCAGCGCACACTCTGCCGCATAATCCAGTGCACCACAGTTAGGAATGTCATCGTGAGTGATAGTGGCTAGCCAACCGGCCTTTTCCTACACACGTATTCACTTCAGAGCCAGGCTCCACTGAGTTCTCCGTCGCAGATCACCTGACACTTTGAGGCAGCCATTGTCATATAGCGAGGTGTTGAATGAGGCTGATGAAGACTTTGGCACTCAATGACGTAGTGTTGAATCTGTTTCCGAATTACGTCTCAGTCAACGCTGTCAATCGGAGGCGTTTTTGACGCCCATGAAGTTGAGGTAGGGATAGATATGACTGCCATTCTATGCTTTGTTTTGTGATGACGATGCCTATAGTTGCAATTCGATCAGCACATGGTTTTCCTCTCCTGAATCGAGCTTGTTCCGGTCAGCTGGAGTTCTGTATCCAGCGCATCTTTCATCCTCTGCAGGATGATGCTACTTAGTGTTTTACTTAGCGTGGACAAAAGCATTATTCTATGCCAGATCTTGCAGAGTGAGGTGTTAGCAACCCTTCTCTAGCAGCTTGGCAAGGTGGCCACTCTTTCTCCCAGCCAGTAGGCACCTTTCTTTTCTTCCAAACGTTTTGCACTAATGGCGCAAGCACATCTGCAGCAGTCTGTAGATCCGTTTTCTGTGCAGAAGGGTGTGGGAATTTCACCTGGTTCTGCCACCTTCTCAGACTTCAGTAGCTTGATCGCATTCAAGATCTCTGCTTTCGCTGAGGAATTAGTGTCAACTGGCAGTTCTGTGCCCGTTGCCGGGGGTGTTTCTGAACGAGTTGCAGATGATTGCAGATTCAAAATTTCTTCGAAGAGAATAGGCCATTGTTTCATTCGTTTCTTCTCTTTGGCAATTAGGCTACTTTGATCATCCTTTATAGGTTTCATCTGCGCTGATTTTTCTCGGGTAGAAACCTGGTAATCTGATATAAAGTCATGAGGCTTTTTTCCAGAGGCCTGTTCTGCCTGAGTTGCGAGTGTGACGTAGAATTGTCTTTTGTCTTTCCTGACACTCTTCTTCACTCCTTTACTCAGTGAAACATATACTGGACTTAGCTTGCTTTTCTGTTCCCTATGTGTTCCCTTGGTCATCTCTTCCACCGTCCCCCTCTCTTCTACTAGCTTCCAGGTACCTTATCCTTCCTCTTATTTCTTCTTAAAACGTCCGTGCATATTTCCCTTAACATCATTTTCAGAAGGTTC